CTGTGTAGTCTGACGCATGAGAATTGCATTATTGACCGCCTGGATGACCATTTCTGTTAGGTTAACTGTCTGAGAAGCAATCATTCCTGCTAAAGACAGGGCGAACAATACACGCAGAATCTTCATTGCTGTCAAATATAAAAAGGCACGAACGGCTGAATATACGAATTGATCAAGATTCTTTGAAACTTCAGGAATTGAGGATGTGTGTTACACTTTACTATCAACATCGATAGTCAGCTCAATTTAGTTATCTCTTCAATCAATGGTTGCGACCATCTTGGATTTTCCTCATTCGTCTCCTTGGCTTCAAAGTTTAGGCCCTTAGCATCAATGACGAATACTACTAACGCCGAAACAACACTATAATTTAGTTTCCTTTAGGAAGGATAAAAATCGCAAAAGCTCATTGTTCTTACTAGATTGAACAATATAAGAATAAGGGAAGGGAGTGATGTCATTTACCTCGTCATAGAAAATTACATATCAATAGTTCTAGAGAGACATGAATTTTTAAAAGCATGCAGTTCTCAATGAAACAAATTCAAACCTAGCATTTTTATAACAGTGTGAAGACAAATATGTTTAATAAGAAAAAAATCAATATCGATAATATCAATGTCGTTATCATAAATGATGGTTTTAACGGGAAAATGAAAGTCAACAAATATTGAATAAATAAGTACTTTTTGACTTACCTGTGCAATGTGTCTCAAGTTGTTTAGAAAAATGTATTTTAAAATCCCATACAATTAACGATTTTTTTTGTTATGAACACTATGTCAACTAATGTAAGTTTTTTTCAAGCTGGTCTCGGCGGATATAATTGAATCAACAAAATATTCCTACCTATCCCTTACAATGAACTAATCACATTGGTCAATTTTGTACAACCCTAAGGCTAAGATAACAGCGCCATCTGTTTAAGCCAAGGACATTCCTTCCGTAAAACCAGCAAACCGTTCACTCGCGCGTACGAGTCATATACTAACTTGAGTCCATTTGTCATTACGTCATGAAATTGCCGTATATAATCAATGATGATATCTTATCTCATTACAGAACTTTTAAATTAATATGTTACGATTTTTAATTGGGGCTTTATTTTGCGTAGAACGTCGAAGACATGCAAGCGGGTGGGTTGTAATATAAAGTGAGTGTCCAGTTTACATAGCATAAGATACGTCTTTTAAAGGGGCTGTATTGAATGGAGTGCCGATCCTTAATATATGTTTACGTCTTCGTGTTGTTTGAATTTATTTCGATATATACGTATATGTGTTTGTATTGTGATTCCATGTGAATAAGTGATCATTGCAGAAAATGAAACAATCCGTTGAACACAATTCAAAACAATGGATTTTACCGGAATTACATTTATTTTTTCCATCGAATATCCCATTTCAGTCTTTGTTAGATATAAAATCTGTCTGGTTACAGTCAACGTTTTAGCAAACTTAATAAACAGTTTGCTGGTCATAGTTTGTGCTTAAAATAACTAGACTTAGCAACCACTAACATGTGTAATCCCCTTTAAAACAAAGTCCTTTATGATACGGTGCCCTTTAGCGAATGTGTATCAAGTGGAATTAGATATATTCGATACAATGAATTAAGTCTGGATACATAACATCAATCTCTCCAAGTGAAAGGATCTAAGTGTTGATTTCAGATTTTACTCGACAATAGCATTGTAATTTGTGTGCCGATTGTGTATTTACGAAAGATAAAACAGCTTATGAAAACACAATACAAACAATAAAACATATTTATAACATATATCACTATCAAATAAAACCAAACGACTGTATAAAAGACACTCAAGTAAAAAGCATATTTTGATATAAATTCAGACTCAGATACTACTGAGTCAAACAATAAGTTAAACTGCATCATAATTTTTCCGTTCTCATAGAAATTGCCACTAATGTCGCACATTCCCTCCTTATCATGTGCGACTACCATTAGGCGCATAAACATGTATAATCCTTCTCACTCAAAATAGCGTCGAAACTCTTATCCAACAAACACACATAACAAACAAACAGTTAACGTTTTAATAAAGTCATTACATTTCATGTTAAATTAAGAAGACTATTATATCTTAAGTGTAAATTAAAAACCTCTTATTAATGTAAAAAAAATAGGAGTTTATGTTTCCAGGGTTCCTGTAAATTTGCGAAAATTGATCCCTTGAAATAAAATTTCACCAACAAAACTGTAGTTGGTGTTATAATTTTGATGTTAGCAAAACTGCGAAAATCTGAGCCATCAAAATAATCCATCTTTACAGTTGTCATTCTCGAACAATTTCGTTATAGGATGATTAACGACCTATCTGAAGGTGCATGTATTCTAATGGGCCAAGTGGTCTGTGTTGACTTTCAAAACAAAAGAGAATAATACTTCAACCGTTAAACTGCCAACGGCAGCACTTGCAGGAGGTAATAGTGTGTATGTCAAGTAGAGGTCTACAGGTCTAATTCTTGACTGTAGATGTACCCAGTGTCACGATATGACCTTGACGTAGGCCAAATATTTTTGAAAGGTATTACTTTACAGAAATGGTAGTGAATTACGGTTATAATTAGACTCAAACCTGGACAATTTTATAGAGTTTATTGAACTATTGACACGTTGTTTCTAAATGTAGAAAGCAGACACAGGTTGGCAGGTTCTATTTAAGGTTTTATAAGTTTAACGGACTCCATGAAAGTTGTTACAGTGCATAAACTGCATTGTGAGCGATGAAAATTGTTACAGAATATCTTCTTATTTCAGTGACTCACCTTTCAATATACAACTCAATCACACCATTAATGCGCCTTTATTTTACTCTCTAATTCGTTGTATCGCATTAAATATCTATGTGTCTGTTTGTTTGATCATGGACTTCAGTGATAACGACAACCCATCAGGTATAAAATCTCATAAAGTCAGCTACATTTTAGGAAAAGGTAGATACTACAGATACTGCAATTTTGGAATAAGGTTTCTTTGTGTTTTAATGGGATGACACATGCACATGTAATTCAAAATGAGAACGAAGTGCATATTGCGAACTTAGTCTACTATCGACACAATTATTTTTCCCGTCTCTTATAAGATAAGAAATTCTTGAGTTATAATTTGATTCAAAATCCTAACAATGCAAAAAGTCAGAGCTATTACAAATGTCCATGTGTGTTTACATTGTATGCATATGCAATTATGTTTATCCTCCGTCGGACCATCTATTTTGATATGATGTCCTGTCGTGAAAAACGAGCACTTTTTTGTTTCCAATGCATTTCCTAATTGATAAAGTTATCAAAAAGCTATGTGCAAAAACAGGTGTTCTTATCTTATAATGACGTTCACAAGCTTAACAAGAAAAAATATCTAACAATATTTGTAACATAAAAATGTTTTTGAAGACGAACTTAGTAGAGACAATTATGAGGAGCGAATACATTTCATGAAAGTAACACATGTATTTCGAGCGATTATCGTGCAATAATGCCTGGACAAAATGGACAAAACCAGTTCCTATTCGGAACGTCAATATCCAGTTATCAATATTCACATTGAAATTCGACATTTAGTTCCGGTGTTTTATTTTGGTTACTTGAACTTTCATATACGGTTCTTGATTGTTCAGTATCATTTGATAACCATGTATTTCGTGTATGTTCTGTTGCTATTTATAGTATGGTCAGGTGAGAAGGTGTGACTCTCGGGTAATGTTATTTAAATATCAAAACTAACAGTTTAGATATCAAAAATATGATTATCTTCAATACAATGCGTGTTTTATCATACACAGGTGTACGGACAACATCTTAAATAACCCTAAAGGCAGTGATTTGATAGCAGATAGTGCTGAGATAAAGTGCCTACATAAACACAATTTGAATAACATGTATTTATACACTTAACATAGCCAGGAATAGCGAAATAAATGTTTAACGTGTATATGTTGCTACAGTGCGGTAGTATTTAAAGATAAAACCACCTACGGGTTATAACATAATGATTTTATCAGCAAACCAATCGGAATAAACTCTAATGAATTATCTTAATATGTACTCTTCTCTAAATGTAACAAATTAGATGATTTCAAACTGTACAGGGTAATCTTTTCATTGATTTCGGTAATGTGTATAACTATTCTTTATATATGATATTTACATAACTATGAAAACAGAAAGATGTACTGGTTTGACAATAATTATCACTACGCCCTTACACATTAAAATCATTTTCGTTTTTTTTTTTTTTTTTTCTTCTTATTCATTTTTTTACATGTATCTTGGGTTCAGGTGTTTATTTAACTTAACAAGTAACTTACACACCATGCGTCAGTATATTATTAACCAACAATTAACGTATGATCTACATTTCATGATTTGATATTTTATCGAGATAATTTATCACCAATATAGTGTGTTATACTCTCTTACTCCCCTTTCCTCTGTCATTACATTTGCCTTTCAAAGTAGCAAAATCCATTTAAATTTTACTGGTTACGGTCTGTCATTACATGCATGAAAATCGTGCAGACATCTTAACCTCAATCTATATCTATAGAATCCGTCCACCTTACAAATGACAGCATATCCAGTTACTACTAATCGTTACCTTTTGGGTGACTTCATCATTAATTTTCATGAAATAATACCAGACGCTGTTACGTTTTTTCTCAGTTGGTTTTATTACAGCTTTAAGTAAAACTCGTATCCAAATTATAACATCGTTTTATGTTCGTAAATTTTACTTTTAATAGAGCCAATAAAAACAATGGTTTTACACAATAATGAAATGCGTAATCGTGATAGCATATTATTTGTTTCTAATAGGTCATACTTTTAATTACCAATTACGTGTTAAGTAATGCCATTTTATCAATATCTACCTTACCGACAATTCACAGAAATAAGTTTCTTTCGAGCTTCAGATATATCTAAATTTTCTTTATTATTTTTCATTTCGTATCCAAATTTAAAATGTAAAATATCTTATCATTCATCTTTCCATGTGTCGAGGTTTATGTTCGGAAGATCCCCACAGCTTACACGCGCGTTCCTGAAACAAAGGAAAATAATATCACAAAGTTATTCATCGCAGTCATACCGAAGAACATGCGTTGTTTATTAATTTAGCGATATAAACAATTCTACAACTAAGAATAAAAAATGCGTTTGTCAGGAAACTGATGGGAGAGTGTCAGTCATTGTATTTGGTTTAAATTGACTCTTCACTAATTTTGAAGAGAGAATGAACTGGTCATATCTTGTAATATTTGTTTTACTTTTCAAAATATGAGGTGTTTTCTCCGTAAGTACGTCAACATAGTACCATGCTTGTAATCTATGAACTGAGTTTGTTAATAGTCGTGATTTGGTGGATTTACACGTATGTGAGGTTCTTTGGTATGCCTGATTCTTCCTGTATGGCTGTCTTTGACCCTATTGGTACTGACCAAAATGTACATGACTGGTGAAGCAGAAGATGCTTACAATTCCGTATGTTGTGTTGATATCCAAATAAACCTTTCTTTTGTTCATCGTTTTGCTTTGTTTAATCGATTGTAAGTTCGAATGAAGATGGCGTTGATTCACAGATATTTTCTTGTTTTGTTCAAATACGAAACTGAGCTCAGTGCAAAAAAAAAATGGCTCAGTATCCCCAATATGTAGAGTGTTTCACCATATACACATGCATTTCCAATTCCAAGGTAAGCATCGGTATACGGATAAAGAATAGATTCTATGATGGGTATGTCCTACATTCTTACTTAATTGGACATCTTTTCAACGATGTGACTGGATGTGACACGACTATTTAAAGAAAACATCAACTACGGCTACAATATTTCTTTCAAACATCGATTAATAATCTACGAAAATGGTCACTGACTTACCCATTACCAACAAAACGGAAGACGTTTGGTTGTATAAAGGGAACATCGAGATTGTCACACATCACTCGGGACAGCCGGATCTTTTTTATCTCGTTTAGTTGTTCTGCAAAATAATTTAAATGACAAAAAAAAAAAAAAAAAATTACTGCGATTAGTTTAAAATCGTTATATTATTTTTCCTGTGACGCAGCCAGACTTTAATACAGTTTCTACAAAGTTTTTGTTTAAAATTTCGTCTTCAGTTTAAAAATGAGAAAATATAATTTAATGAATGTTGAAATTCTCATCTGTTGTACCATAATACAATGGAAGACGAGGAACGCGCCGATGTGTTCTATGTACGACATCCATAAAAAAGTTGTGATAATCTAAATGAAATCTTAATCCAGATAGCAATCACTCACGTGGTATTGTCTCACTTGAACAGTGAGTTTGAATTCTCCATCCTTAGAATAAGTGATTATTGAATCTGATCTGTCAACAGAGGATGCTTTGCTACTTAGCAAACCTGGTCGGTTTCCGACACTTACCCTCAGTAAATCCAGTAATTGGATGCATGTTTTCATACCAAAATCTGTCACCGACTTTTAAGCTCCGGAATTGTGTGGCGATGATACAGGCGAACGTTGGTCCAGTTGCGGCTCCAGGAAGTGTAATTTCAGACAATCCTCCCGTAAACAGGTCAATGTCATCCACGTCACTGGTATAATAATTGGTGTTATATTATGACATATATATCGTTACATTTTATTTTACACTGTCATTAGTGCAAGCTGCAAACTGAAAATAAAACGGCTTGATATTGTAAAAATTGCGTTTATATCACATTCTAAATTAGTAGATTGGACATACAAGTGTCTATAGATAAACATTAAAAACGTGCCCGTGGTAATTTTCGGGCCGGTATATATATATATTTATCATATTGTGAAAATGTACAAACCTGTATACAGTTGAAAGCAGTCTCACAGATTCGGGCTCATGATCGACGAGACCGCCTGGCCCGGATGTAAAAAATGTGGCGGGAACAAGACCGCATAACTTTCGCCACTCGTTGTATGTTGGGATACCTTGATCACGTGCTCTTTGAATATTCAAAGCGACTAAATCAAAACTATGGCCTCTATTATCCAAGAAAAGAAAATCTCGTACTCCATCTTCTACAAATCTATCGTCTTCCATTACCGGAAATGAAATAAGCCATCTAGCAAAGTCATTTAAAGCTTGTCCCATTCTTTCCAAAATGAACCTTGGTTTATCAAATGTGGCAAATATAAAATTATTCCGTTGTGACGAAAATGAGTCGTCTACCATTCCTTGTACATCTGGTATTCGTGTATGAGGGAAGCGCATTGCAGCTGCCGAAAATCCCATCATTATCGAAGCATCGGTGTCAGGGTCATATGCCGCACTGAATCCTCTAGGACTCGAACGAATATTATACCTAATAAGATGATCCTCGTTTAGAATGGACGGAAGTAGCTCATTGTATACCATGTGTTGAAGCATACCTATAATGATTTTCCGAGTTTCCTGGAATGCCCGCTCGTCATTCCAGCCCGGATTTATTCGAGTTAAGTGGGTAGCAATGCGGTTGTGTTCTCTTAAGAACGTAGTGTGGAGCACAGTCAATCCAGGAACGTGGTTCACCCGGAAGTCACCTTAAAGGCATCACAAAAAACAACAGTTTAGGGTTTTTTTAAGTTAGGAGAAACGTTTCATGTTAAAAATAACCGCAAAAACCAACTTGTTCATAATGATAATGTAACGTCTCAATACGTCCAACATTATGTAGCGATCTTACCAGCCAGCATGCAATAATCTCCCGGAGCTTCCTTAATGCACATCTCTTCGTCACTCGGAGGGGGCAACCCCAGTGTAGTCATTTTCAACATTCCTCAGAAAAATACAACACCACACAAATTAATTTAGGCCGATTTGTCTTGTTTAATAATTAATTATCAATATCTGTGTCAGCCTCTTAAATATATTTCAAATGTTACGCTTTAATGACAATCCGTGAAAATCAAAAAAATGTTCCAGTGAGGATGACAAGCTACGGAGCCCGTTAACTGACATGCTCCATACTTATTTTATTTCGTTTTTTCGAAATATTATTTCGTTTTTTCGAAATAAGACGAATTATTATTTCGAAAAAACGAAATAAAATAAGTATGGAGCATGTCAGTTAACGGGCTCCGTAACAAGCAGTATTAACATGTCGCACTTAAATTATTATTACTTTGTCAGGTCGACATTTCCTCTTAATGCCATTTTATAACATTTTTTGAAAATGCAGCCACGAAATGGAATCTACTTTTTCTCATTTTTATTTTTCTCGGTTAAAAAATGTAATGACCTGTAGTGTTTTCCCTGTTAAATATGGCCGTCACTACAAGTATATGACCTCGTTATCTACATTTTTTTCAAATATACAGTTAGAATATACTCTCTTTCGGGTCGGTTGCCCTTTTGACCCAGCGTTGAATTAGTTTTGCGGTGAAGATAATCTAGGCATGGGACTTGCAAACAAATGGATAAAAAGAGACCTTCAATAGTTCACTAAAATAAAAAAATAAAATAAAAATAAAATCTGCTACAGGTATAACACCGAATGGAGTATCCCAACAAAATAAATAGGATATAAGCGTTTAAAACTCGTGGTTTCGGTTGGAATTATATAATATATATATATTATTTGTGATGATAAAGTTTGCAACAAAATATGTTTTTGATAAAATAAAATAATTACAATGAAATGAAAACGGGGTAGCTTGATAAACAAAGACACAAAGGTAATATCTTACTAAATATTTACGTAAATGCTATAATGTCTGGGACGAAGATTTACGTCCGTCACCTATAAGTATATTTCTACACAAGATAATACTACCTACATTGTACGTCACATCGTAAGTGTCTACAGACGTCATCGATTGGTGATGTGTATATAATCAACAACCGACTACACAAACACAACCTACATGTGATCACAGAGAAACGCTGGGCGTGTGATAGCGACCGTGATGTTTTACCAAAACTCTTACATGTGTCCAACATTAGTATATTTAAAACCTTAGCAATGGTCAGTGTTTACTTTACTGTTTGACGTTTAGCACACCAGCTCCACTGATATGATCAAATGTGTCTCACGTGACCGAAAAATCCCGTAAACAAACATTTAATATCACAATTGCATTCAATTAACTTCCCCTAAGACTTAGAAACAGCAATTATAAAGGAGATTAAGACACGATTTGTGTTTTAGATTTAAATGTGTGAGAATTATAGGAGGGCGTATTTCTTTTATACTGCTGTAGCGTAAACTTGTTTGTTTACAAATGCAATCAGACAAGATGTCTACAAGCGAATCCCACATTTATAAAAAATATCGTCATCACGATTGTTTGTCTATGGTTTTATGACCAAGCAACAGTGAAGGTCTTGTAGGTATGAGAAAGGCGTTAAACTATTAAGGACCTATCAGAAGTCATACCATCATCTAGGCGCGCCATGCACCAAATGAAATACTGAGATACTGGGAGTTGTAATGATGACACCATAGGACAACACAGTACGATATACGATTCTTGCAAATAGTATGGCCCCTATTCCGGCTAACAAGAGTAATGCAACTAAGTCTTTAACAGTAAAGTTCATATAACTCAACCAGTAGCACATTTGAGTGTAACGTCCCGATGATTACCTTTTTAAGAAAAATTATCTTACTAGTGTGAAGCGAACTAGCTCTGGAGTACGTATAGTGTATGAGATGGTGAGGAAACGACCAACTTGTTAGGCTGTACTATAATCCCGTGTACTTTCGGGTCGAAAATAGTGCAACGAGATGGTAAACAAATTATAGAAAACAATTACACAGTTTAGTTAATTCGGCTACGCTTTGTTTGACACCTGGTCAGAGATGTACATACATTTAACTTTAACATGAAACAAATTTAGTGAAAGCAACATTGATAGCGGAATATTCTTTCATAGTTGGTCAATCTTAATTAACAATTTTTACATCTATCAGTTTTGCATTCTATTAAAAAGGTTTTTTTTAGCTTTCGGTATCATGAAAGCGAATACGTTTGAAGGACAATGTGCCATGTAACTTCTATAGTTTGATAATCCCACTAAATACCCGCGATAACGAGAAAGTTATCTCAGACGGACAAATACCTCCAAGGAACGACCTCAGTCCCTTCGTCTCGTCCTCAGAGGTTCCATAAATCTGGGATCCGTCCATAAAGGCGCTGGCTTGGTTCATAGGGGATCGGATACCTTAATGATGAACAGTCATCAAATGTAAACCGTCAGAAAACATTAAAAAATTATCAACACAATGATTTGGTCTGTTTCATTTCAAAACTACAATAGTGTATATAAGTCGCTCACTAACCAGTAATCGAAAACTCTTAGAAAAGTTATATTGGGATAGTCTATATGTAGCAATAAAACTTAATAAAAACTATTTTTGACACTGAAAAGCAAGATCTCCATGGAAATAAAATACATAGGAAAGAAAGATTCGTTGTTTGAGAAAAGTAAGTGTTTTGTGTTTTATCGAAGGTAAGATTCACATGTCTACTTGTCGAATCAAAGTAATAAAACGTTTCTAAAAATAAAAGCGAATAATAAATCGACATCGCTAGGCACGCTACCCATATACCAGCTCCATAGCAACAGACATCGACTAATTATCAAAACTCAAACAACCGCGAATCGCTTATAGAGAACAAATTACCCATGTCACAATTAAGTTTGAGGCCTGGCGTAGAACGGACGAAGGTCATGCAGCTTTCAGTGAAGCGACCATCAGCAGGTGGAATACTTATAGGAAAACAGGCAGACCTACGAGAATATAAGTTATATAATTTTTACATTGTAAGTTTAGAATACATGGTAAATGTCCACGTCAAAAGAAAAGAACAACAGAATTTGGTTATGTTATGTTTTGTATCCTATGAAGATACGTCAGCTGAAAGGCATACAAAATGTTTTTTGATAATCAGCTTCCTTTTTATAATTGTTTTGAACGTTGGTTACATCTTCAGTACACGCCAGTGTGATAACTTGCATCTCTCTTCATTTTGAATATCAGGCCCTGTCCGTTCGGTCCGTGCAGGCATATGGACGGACTGGAAATCAACTTAACGCAAAAGGTCATTCAAGGTCATACAAGGATATCAGGCCAACGTTCCGATACTTGAAGAGAGGCCGGATCACAAGAATACCCTGTGCAATAAGACAAAACGAAGGAATATTCTGAATTAACTCACCTCATGGCGGTGACGTTTGGAGCGCCCTCACAACACATGATATCTGCACCATCAGTACCTGTAACAAAGTAAAACACAGACAAACCCTCAGATAACAGGTACGCTGACTAACGCCGTCTAATTTGTTAAAGGATCACATTATCATTATCTGTATACAAAGAGATGGGATTTAATGCTGGTTACACACGCCGATATAAAATCATTCCATGGTGATATTGTTTTTACATATTGCGCAGAAAGTGCATTAAAACATCCGGGCACGCAGGCAATAGATCTAGTGCCAATTACATTTGAAGAAGAAAGAAAAGAATTCATTAATTGTACAAAAAGGCTCTACGCAAATTTGAATTCAAATATTTGTATATCAACATACCCGATATCATTGGCGTGGAGATGACGTCATGTTCAATGAATTGTCCGAACTGCATAATCATGACCGTGAAGTGTTTGCTAGCCAAAGAACACTCTCCAGCCTTATGCATAATGTTACTGACAAGTCTAGCACTGGGCAGAACCTTTCCGGCCTTACTTCGGACTCTCGGATAATCGATACCTGGAAACATCAGTAGGTATTGGGAAATTGTTTTATCATATTGGTATACATATGTAGAATGAAAGTTCTAATATCACAACAAGTAAGAAATGCATGCCAAACGTTTCTACATCTGGTATTCACTGTATTCACTAATGACCTGTCCATTTTTTACCATCTCGTACACTCTTTACTGCGATCATACATCTGGCGGAAGTGACATAAAACATTATTTCCTTGCTGGTTGCAATAAAAGAACTGACTTTCAAAAATTCAGGAGATCTTATTCACTTTTTGAACATTGAATTTTTTTTTCTTTTTATGGAAAGGAAGGCTTAGGTTGTTACGGGAAAGTTTAAAGTACCAGGACACATTCAAAACGTTGATCTCTGAACACCAAACGAACCTCTACGCTACATTTGCCTAGTTACAGATATGTTAGAAACAGTCAGGTATATATCCATACTGGCGGCTAAATTGCTCTGACTCTGAATTATAGTTATCAATGTTCGTATACGCACGTTATGTCATAGGTTTAACAAGCCATACCATCCTCATAACTATTAAACATCATGCGTCGTTGTCGCGTGAGAGCAGCTCCCTGTGTTGTATCACTTAGGTGGTTGCAATATCCGGTGGCAGTTCGGAATGGATACCGGAAATCACATGTTGGTGGTTTAAATGGACAAGTGGGCTCCACCTGTTTGCGCCATTCAGCAACGACTTGAGGATTCGTCATGAGTTGGCGGAGGGGCATTCCAGTCCTTTAGAAGATGAACATGTACATGTAATTATTTGTACACTGACTTTTCATCACAGAGATATCAGATGTGTGGAAATTAAGAAACCTGTTGAATTATAAAAGTGGCTAATGCACCTCCAGCCTCGATTTGGACATTTTTGCTAAATGATTTTGAAAGAAAATAAATTGATTTGAAAATACCAGATTTAATAAAACAATGAGTAGTTTTCAACTTTATTTTATATGAGCAATGATGACATAGAAACTTCTATTATAGTTAATATTGAATAAATACAACTACACTGTGATATGACCCGTTCGTCAGACCGACTACCCATCGGAAGGTCGTCAGGGTGATTTTTTTAAATGTGAAGGTGAAAACGACACGAAAGACGTTGGATACGCTGTCAGATATCCTTACAGTTCCACGAGACGCTTGGTCGCCCGGACGATGACCCAGGCCTTATCTGACAAAACATCGACCACCTCTTTATTCTTGGTATACAGAAATCGCCCGAGGTGCCAAAAGTAAGACTGGCTTCCGGCGGGAATATCAATACCTGTAAAGCAAACCAGGTCACAAAAGGTGCTTTTAAATCCATTAGGAACATGTGTTTTACCTGTTCGTACATACGCCGCGCCACAGGAACAAGTAAAAGTTCACAGAGATCACAACAAATGACATTTTTTATGACTAGTCAGTTATATATTGTGGTTATCATCTATGTACCGACAGAACGGGAACATCATGATGACGTCATGATGGATTCTTATTTAAGCTTGATTTAAAACTGTGTATGTTTCTTGTAATTTCGTTGTGTAACATTGATAAGATATATATTTAATGAAAGGAATTAAAACAGATAGCTACCTGTCCATCATATCATATCGACTTTGTGTTACAGAAATAAAAGAACAATACATTGTATATGATGGGAAATATATAAGTAAATAGAAATTAAAGTAATAATATTGATTATTACAGTTGTATATTACATGTCAAAAGCTTGAAAATCTATCGGTTCCGTTCTCCTTTATCACTTAATTTTATTAAATTTCCAAAAGGTAAGCAATTTTCCTAAAGTCGTATCCTGTGTCGTGTATAGTACAGTACACGCGATGGCTTTGTTTACCTTGTTGTAACATCGTTTTGTCGAGGTTTTTCTGGTACAGCAGTTCAGCGTTAGCTTCCGACAGAGCCTGCGTTATATACCCGGCCAGACGTGGGTCTGTCGCTTGCCTTTTCTCGCGGAACACCTCAATCTCACGCTCTAGGTCAACATCCCCGGATTGGAAAGTCGGGGTTGCTGGAAAGGTGAAGGCCAGGAACAATGCCAACCGGATGACGTAATGTTTCATCCTACAACATGACAAAGATAAAGTTTATTATGTACTCATGAACATTTTCATTTTTTGAAACTTCAGTAAAACTTCGATGTGTCGAAGTTCAAGGGACCGTCGAGAAAACTTTGACACATCGGGACTTCGACTCATGAATGGTGACCGTCCAACCACAAAAAATACACCTGTAAAACATGTGTATTGTGTCCGTTTGTGTTATATGCAGATTCCCTTATCAATATCTCGTGTTGATCGCTTGCATAATCTATCAAATGTCTGTTCGAACGCAACTTTGTCACAGAATATCGGAGGAAGGAAAAAAATTCAGATGAATGTTAACATGTTTATTATAAAGACAAGATATTTGTATTTGAAATAGGCTTTTAAAAAAATAATCCTTCAATCCTTTTGTCCGCTGTAAATATTCTGGAAATGTTAATCAACACATTATTCACCTTCAGAATGCAAAACCTTTTGTTCGAAAAGTAAAAGATAAGATTGATAAATCTCTCTCGTCAGTTGTACAAAAAATATTAAAGGACAAAAGGAAGTATCACTGTCTTTCTCTCGTTTCACCCTTTACTTCTCCTTTTAGTATAGTATTGACGTTTAACATTAAAACGCTTTAAACATTCAGGTTGAACGTAAATAAGGGGAAATTTAACAACATTCAAGTTTTATACCAGTCTAAAAATAAAGGCGTAGTTCTTTGAGATTAAACCAGACTTCTATATATATACAAAATTTACAATATTTTCACTATAGCTACTACTATTTCTGATCTCCAATGCATTAGATAATGTCACCATGACACGCTAAATGAATGAATATGTTATGGAAATATTTTGTTTTAGTTAATTGATAATTATAAACATGAATATTTTGTGGGTTTTTTTTATACGCGCTTTATTTGAAGGAATATTTTCATTTCAAGGAACTTTGATACACATTAACAAACCTAGAGAAATCAGCACAATCAACCTTCATCAAATAAAAACTAAAAGACAAATAATGTAAGTTATAACAACTTCATGTCAACATCATGATCAGTACAGTATTAAAATATATTATTCATAAATCATGAGCACCAAATGTACATTGCCTACGAAGCGCAAACTTTTTACCTTGAAAAACTCTAAAAAGTGTCATATCGGCGGGTGTGCGCGTGGGACGAGCAGTCCAATTCCGTGAGGTCGAATGAGGTAAAGTGATGTTATATATTAAGACGATCTTGCCACAACGACAAGGATTAAAACAAAATTGATGTTCTGTTTATAAGTTTTGTTTGTTTATAAGTGCTGTTAGTTGATAATTCAAACCAAGCCCCCAGACTAGCTTCTTATCAACTCGCACGTACAGTGTTCTGTACGCTTACGTCATTTCGAGAATTCCGTAAAATATATTATTCAAAATTTATCAATAGTTCAACCACACTGTGCCTCTTGTTTGAAATATATATTAATCGTATTATTATTAAAAAATAAACTAATTTCGGATGCTTTTAAAATAGCGATTTGAAAGATCGCGTTATTATTTACGCAGAAAATTGCCGCTAGATGGCTCTAACTCTTTTCGATATTTCAGCCAATGAGAAGGCCAGGATCGATAAATTTTGTCTGACAGGCCGTCGCAATAGGCTATGCGTACTGAGTACGTTCAGCCTAATCAGGAAAGAGTTTATGATGAATATGCAGATAAAGAGCAAATTTATTTGATTTTATTCGAAATATGACTGCACACACTTGTGCTTACAAATATTTCTTCTCATTTCAGTATTGAAGTTTAAGATTGAAACATATTAAAACTATTTTTAACGTGATTTAAGCTAGACATAACAACGGCCGAAACATTCCATTTTTGTGAGGTTGAAAAGCAGTTCAGTTTTTTATGATTAATAAAAGAGATAGAAGTTTTTTAATTAAATCTATTTGCTACATTGTAGCAAGTATAAACAAATATGGCTAATTTAACTTCCCTTTCAATACTGTATTTAAGTTTAACGCTTAATCATTTTAACGAAAACTCGCTGGTTCATAGTCTTATTTTTGTCCAAGTAATGTTGATAAGTTTCTAACAATTCAGTGGCATGTTTATGATAATTGTGATACATAGGAGGACTTTATTTTGAAGAAATGGACAGGAGGTTCGAAACATTAAATGTATCCGTCCTAATCACAAAGGAAACACACACAATGACCAACGTAGGGAAGTGATTAAGTCGGTAAGTCATTGTCACAGGAAATAAAATATATGAGTGACATGTTTATTTATCAAGACGTAACACCAATAAAGAAACCACAACAACATTTAATCACCTACTAAACCAATCACGATCAATGTATTTTGATCCCCCACGAAAACTCGTAAACACGATCTGTTTATCTATATTTAGAAATTGCAGAAAGTCCATTTGCAATTTAAGTAAATTTGAACCATTTTATTTGTGGTGATGTTTGTGTTGAAAGAGCGACATATTGTTTTTTTTTCTTGTGGTTACATAAATATTAACGCACGTGAAAGTCTTGTCATATTTGTCCTGCAAATGATTCACATTCCAATGAAGTTAATTAATTGAGTCTTTCTTAATCATATTATCATGTATATTACCTATCGCGGTTGCTTCTCTTTACTCATTAAAGTATTTTGTTCTATAATCCCTATCATATACGTATATGTACATGTATGTATAATCTCTTTAGTGTCTAAAATGTCTGTTTTGTTCATTATGATAACGATGTTTCAATTTTTATTTGGGAAGTAAAATCATTGGTTAGGTAATAGTGCTGGTTTTGAACAATGTGTAAGTGCTATTTTTATCTGTGATTTGAGCACTAGGTGTTTTATGACAATATGAAGAGCATGATCGGGGAGAAGAAAAGGAATTGGTCGAAAGAAATGTGACAGATGCTGTCTAAGAAATAAGATACCTATTTCAAGGTGTAATTTCGAATTTTGTATATGTACAATTTGCATGAAAGACACTTGATGAGTACATTGTCAAAAGTTGCACAGACCGGTAAAGCTTTTGTTTTGTCCAACGATATTGCTTGTCTGAGACCAATGACAGTCGCTGAATGACATGACCCTAATATTCACTAATGTTTTTTAAACTACTAACTTCTCTAAACAATGTTTAGACAGATAACTTGTGCGACAGTCCCGGGATGACGTGAACACAATATTCACTAATGTTTTTTAAACTACTAACTTCTCTAAACAATGTTTAGACAGATAACTTGTGCGACAGTCCCGGGATGACGTGAACACAATATTCACTAATGTTTTTAAACTACTAACTTCTCTAAACAATGTTTAGACAGATATCGTGTGCGACAGTCCCGGGATGACATGACCCTGACATTCACATTCACATTGAAGTCTTCCACAGAATTAACTATTTAGTACGCTCGTGTAACTGTAGCTTTTCAGACTTTGTCAGATATCTGCTGACTAAGCAAGTATGATGTCCAAATAGCGGGATATAACCATGGAATGAGGGTCTCTTGATATTTCCTTTATCAAAAGGTCAGAAGCCCGGTACCAATGTTGTTGTTACTTGAACATTGAATGGAAGGACAATTGTGTACAAACAACTGGGTGGCGACTTTAGGAAACATACATATGGTCAAATATCTTGACATTGCTTAAAACTCAGCTTGTTTGTTAGGTCTATCTACCCGTGAAAAGCTGGGGTTAATTTGAGGCCGGTGTTCCTTGTAGCCGCTGGTAACAACAGACGGGAGTTCCGTCGCGTGTTATCCAAAGTAGTTATTGTAAACTAACTTGCCCGTGGTAACCACAACACCAAAATAGATCGGTTCGATCCACAGTCTCCTCACAAACAAAGCGTCACGGATGAAAGGAGCATTGAACCACGTGCCTCGGATCTTGTCCAGAGGTTACGTATTCCGACTCTTTAGTGACTGAGATATCGCGAACGCATTGGTCTAAACAGGACGAAAAATGTGGACGGAATGACGGAATAGATGACCCGTTGATCAATATCTGACTTTGAAACAAACACAACAAAACCAAAAACAACAGAAAAGACAAGGAAAGGCGACATCATTTACAGAAGTGTTGCTAGTGCACAAACAAATTATGTTATCTATACTCTCCACAAATTAAAAGAATAATTTCTACGAATAAGCATTGGAATGAATTTGCGCCGTAATCACGAAATGTTAACAGATTTATTTCTATTTCTATCAGTATGTTACTTCCCAAATAAATTGATCTTTTGAGAGAGAGAGAGAGAGAGAGAGAGAGAGAGAGAGAGAGAGAGAGAGAGAGAGAGAGAGAGAGAGAGAGAGAGAGAGAGAGAGAGAGAGAGAGAGAGAGAGAGAGAGAGAGAGAGAGAGAGAGAGAGAGAGAGAGGGAGGGAGAGAGAGAGAGAGAGAGAGAGAGAGAGAGAGAGAGAGAGAGAGGTCAGATTAATAAATCAGTATAGTTCGCTTTAACAATGCCGTTATTTTATATGGTATTTCCTGTTTTCGTCTAAAACCGAAACCCATTTTCCATTCCAATGAAGTGATAATAGTCTTACATAATGTCATATTATTACTTTACCATAACTGTCCCATGTGGGTTAACCAATCAAATTAAGCATTTTTAAAATCAATATATAGGTGCATTGATGCAAAGTCAATCTCAAAATTCATTTAAAAGTATAGTGACCATAATTTTTACCTACATCTATACATCTATATATGATTGTCCTACCTGCAGTGTACTAGTTGGCGCCCCGACGGTAACCAGTGTATCCTCGGCGACAGATGATACGATTTTAATTTTGGAGAGAGGGGGCGTGGACGTCCGGGCTAAAGCACGTGTACGGGATGTGGGGGTCAGAATGTTACATGTAGTGGTGCCATTACATTTTTTTTACCTTGACAAACACATGGTTAACATCAAAGGATATCCATGTACAGGTGAAAATGACTCCTCAGAAATGTTGTATAAGACTTCATTCATTATGTATTAGTTTATTTATAAGCTAGCAATTTCGTGATTTTAGAACAGTTGTAACGCCATGTCACGATGATGAGAGTTAATTAATCTGACTTGTACTCCAGCAATAATTATTCTCAAGTGATACATAAACACACGTATCGCTTAAAATATTTAATCTACCTAGATAGTTCACTCGAATATCTGTTATACCTTACCCGAAATTTCTAATGCATTTTCCATTGAATTGAAAAAATGGAGTTGAACCCAGATAAGAAAATAACATGAGCTAAAAAAATCCATTGTAGTGTGGAATTACCTTGCAAAATCGTTTAATTCACTTTCAGATATATTTAAAGACGTCTTGTCATTGTATAACAAAACATTAATTGACCACGACAATGCAGAATTTGCAATCACGACAGACTCTTCTCCATCAACCGCTTATCTCGAACTTTTCCGACAACGAAGAGAGCTTTCTACCACGATGTATGATAAACGTGATAATTTCGATTTCTCAATTGTGAATTTTCCAATTCTGGATCGCAACACTCCTGCATCACCAATCAATGATATTTGCATGTCACACGTATTTCGATATTCAATTGTCTGTTCCTATTATCACGGTTTTTGCGCAAGAAGATGCCAGCTGACGGACAAATTCTTTATCCATGGTTTCAAAACACGCAAGTTGATGAAAAATATGGATGGATTTTACAGTCGTCCTAGTTATCTCATTGAGAAACATTGCATGTTCGTTAGTTTACCTGTTGGTTCCGTTGTTGTATACCTTGTTCTCATCTGAGAGCGTGACTCTACTTACTTGGATTGACCAAGGTTTACATGACGGGTATTGCCGATGAAGTAGAGGTCTAACTCTACTTTTACTTTTTCAGGAGTCTCTGTGTAGATATTTCCTTTGTTCATATTTTGTCCTAGTTTTAGATTAAATTTGAGTTTGGGTTATGATTGTGGTGAAATGTTAGTACTTTTTTGTTATTGATATGATCTGACCATAGGGGACGTCGTTCAAGGTTTACTTGCCGAAATGAACTCTGTTTACTTCGTTCACAGAAATCGGACGTTTTATCTATGAAATAAAGTTATTATACTACTAAAATAGCAGGAATCATACATATTGTAGTAAAGAAAAAGGGAATGCAACATCTTCGGAGCAGGTCAGGTTGGGTACCGCCAATTGTTCTTTTCTGTTTTTCGATAAATGATCATTTCATCCCTTTCTTTAAATGCATCACACGTGTGCACGATGAACTGTTCTTCAATAACAACATGAAAATTCATTATGACACTGTGTTGTACTAATAAATATAGAACTTGTATTAGTCTGCACGTCGCAGTCGTTTTCATTGATCGCCGAATCGTGTGACGTCACGCAATCAGGGTGTGTCACATCCATAACGCCGTTGGAACATTGACATCCGGCAACGGGAGGAGGCATGGCGACGGAAACCCTCTCAACCAACCAACCACAGCCCTTGCTATAAAATAGTGGCATCTTCATGTCCGCGTGAATATATGAATATCGAAAAAGAGGTCAATTACCGACGTCTGCAGTCATTACTGACCGATTCCGTGGCTCTTCCATAGATACAATGTATTAAGAACAGGAACACGTTTTCCAAGAATATTGTTCCCTTGACTATGGGGCATTTGATTTCACGTGCACTTCATTGTATAAAGCCATCGCGACAGACATGTGATTCTGGAGTTAGTGGTAAAAGGAAGGAGTTCAACAGATCTGCATTGTCTTATTTAAGGGAATTCTACAATACACGTATAAATGGCAAGTGTTACTTAAACTACTACAGCAGTGAAGAGTAATTCTCATATATTGAGATTTTCACATAAATCTAAAGCGTAAGAACTGAACACTTCACACTGTTCGAGGAAAACAAGACATCAAAGCATTATATAATATTAAATGATCATTTTATTCTCGCTCCTTCCAATCCATGTACCCATGACAAGCACATTACACGTGGTAGATCTATGTTAAGTACATGGTGCAGATGTGAATGCTTCAGACTTCATTAAGTAAAATTATAGAATATTTTCCATCTAAAACTTACAAGTACAAAAAAAAAGATGAAGTGAAAAGTTATCATTGGTGAAAACATAGGCTTATATATTTATATCCCATGATAAACAGGATACAATGTCATATTTGTTAACGAAATATAGAATTATGTATTTTGTGCAGGCTTTATACCTTGAATATAAAAAAAGACACACTGTGCTGGAATAATAATGTTTGGTACTTGGTATGAATAACACAAAAACAGGACTACCATCAAAAAATCAAATTTTTTCAAAATTTCTTGTCAAATGATGAAATGTGAAGTGAAAAACATATGCTGTCAGGATTCTACACAAATAGATTTATATGATGTTATAAAAACAATACTATAGAAAATGAATAATTTTCCATTCACTTCACACATTGTCAATCAAATCTTGGTTGACTTGGAGACAATCAAAGCACATACCTGTGTTCAGTCTCATTGCTTCCTTTCTGGATTTTATTAAGTACAAATTATTCTATCAAAGTTAAAATAATTTTTTTTTTTTGAAACATCTTGCCAAATTAGACATTAAATGAACTGATATGGATGTACGATTAGGCAGGTGTGGCACAAGCATTTTCTAAATTCACAATAAATCACACATTTACATACATAAGATATTAAAATGATGTCCTGTTATACATCAATAAAAAAAATTCATCTTGTAGCTTCATCACATATGCTCATAATAAACTAACTTAAAGCTGAATTTGTATTGAAATAGACATACATACACCAACTGTTAAAATGCAATCTTACACATATACATGTACATATGACAACAGCTCATATCTGTAGGACATATGAAAACGTTTTTAAAAAATGAAAGACAATAAAGACACATTGAGAAAGTTTTAAACATTTTTTACTTTTAAAATTTCAATTCAATTTCAATATCATTCAGCACACTTTAGAATCAGTGTATTCCCCATTCATTCATGAGAATGATTCCAGTGACCGAAAGAATTTATCAGTTTTTGGCATCCAAAGGTAGAAAATAATATCTAGAAAAATAAAATAACTACCAAAAACTTCATTGAATAATAAAAAGTATGCTGAATGTAAGATAAATAGTTATCAGTGCAAGTATTGTATGAATGTACATGTACATGTTTCTATGCTCTGATAAATCTTTGGATCTAAAGTAGATTAGTATACAAAACTTGGTTTAAATTTTCAATTATCACCAAAGTCCACAATTTGGTAAGCTCAAGTAAAAAATCTCAATCGAACCAAAGTATGAATAGCAGCCTATTATCAAATCATGTCAGATCTAATCTTTGTCAGTAAAAGCAGGTTTCATAATACTAGTCACTTATATCCTTTTTATCGTGCTTACAGGAGATCTTGTGGATAGAAAAGTATTATATTGAAAATGTAACAGTAATATTTCATGGCACTTGTTTATATAAACAAGCAAAAAACAATATTACAATACATACACTTAGTCTTAAATATGTCAAGTGCGTGATTTGTTTCTGAAGCATTTAAATAAGCATTGTCATCAAGTACAATTTGAAGATTAATTTCATTAATTGCCAGCTCACAAAGCTTATGTCTGTACAGCAATGACAGCCTACAATAACTCTGAAATTCCATCTGATGAATAAATAAGTTCTTGAGTCCTACTTATTCAAACATAAAATCTAAGGAATACCATCCAGGTTTACATTTCAGGGTATCACTTTTTCAAATCATAGGCCACTTTTTATATTGTGGTTGAATAAAAAGATGTAAATAATCACAAACTTGATAAAACTGTTTTAAAATTGCCCTTTGTGTCTGTAAACACACAGGATCTGATGCTAATGAATGAAGAAAGTTGTATGTTAGGTAAACTATCTTCTATTCCAGTACATGTATATAAATGGTATCTTGTTCCATTTTTGAAGATAATGAAGCATCCTCTAAAAACAAGCCTGAAAGCATCACAGTTCACCTAAATGCATCTTAAAGATGATGTTTTTCTGTTTTTTGAATGGAAATTTATTGTGATGGCTATTAAATGAATACTACAAATGTATTACCAAAGTAAAAATTAGCAATATATTTACAAATATATCAACTGGCAACGACTGTCCATAATTTCACAGTACACTGCTAATGCTTTTCTATGCTAATACTGTAATATTCACTGGCAGGAAAATGCTGACTTTAAACAATTCTGTTGAAATGATACTGTGACATAAACATATTACATACATAACCTTGATAGCAATATTTGATTAAAATGCATAAAACTCAAATATTTGTCTTCTTAGGAAAATTGAAAAATTAAAACTTGATAAACTCTATAATCTTTTAATATCTGTAAAAACTCTGTAACTTCCTAAAATAGCAAAACTATTATAGCAGACAATTATGAATATACATTCATTTAATGTACATCAGAAATTTGACATCTGCACTGATGGCAAGATATTGACTGGTAACAAAGTGATACCTGGTCTCTAATACAGAGTGTCTACCAAGTTTTACTTTTCTATAATGAAGTTTAATGTGTATGATTAAATCATATATATAGTGTGAATGATACAAGGGCAAACATTTAAAATGTACACATGCTGTATTAGTGATAAAACTTAGTGATATTAACACAAAATATGAATATGATAAAATAACTTACATGAAATTAAATGGCACAAATCATTGTAGGAATTCATGTGATCTCATAAAAACTTTTAAAACATAATCCCTTAAGTTAAACCTTTTCTTAGTTATGTGATAAAAAGTATCTTAAATTTGTTTCCATTTTGTAAAATCTCATATCAACTGAAAATTCAATAAGATCCTATATCTATCACACATATGCAAAAATTATCAAGTTTACTTTAATAAGTACATATAATCAATGATGGCTAACAACGTTATAAAGTAAGCATTGCCAGTAAATTGGAGCTACTGATAATGACAGAATCAAATACAGGAAGGAAATACAAATCTTAGTAGTGATTGATTTAGTGATTAAAGGACAGGAACAAGAATTAAACATGGACGATTCTGATAAAGACATTATTTAAATACGGTCGTTGTTTTTAAGCAACTAGATGTTTAGGTCAAATATTTAGATTCTAAAATCTTTAATTGTCCAATTTTCATTATTTTATAAGCCAATTTTATTTTTCCTTATTCTTAAAATGAAACCAGCCTTTAAAACAATGGACATTGGACAATAAACTGTTTTAGAGAGTACAAAAATACCCGAGTAATTGAGCCCTTTTGATTTTGATGCCTGAGTCCAAAGTCAAAAGTATCAAGAGCTTTATCAAGTAATTGAGCCCCTTTGACAATGATGGTGGTGCACAAAGTCATAAGCAGCAAGGCCTGTATCAACTTGATCAATAAAACATGTAATATCACAGTAACAGAACCATGAATCAAAGTCTGTTGCCAGAAATCCTGGTCACAGCATGGACAACCAGAATGCAGCCAGCTGTATTAACATAAACTGCCATCTTTTATATGTAGTAACTGTGGTGATGGCAAATAGTCTTTCCAATTAATGCAAAAATGTAATCCATATACAATGTACTATTAAAAATAACTTTCATTGGACAAATTGATTCCTGAAAAGGCTACTCCTATCACAGACAAAAAGTTCTGATTTGTAACCAGTAATATAATATCAGTTATTTATGATAGAATTAGCTCCATATCTGTATAGCTTTTCATGGTCCTCTTTCTTTAAACACCACTTTGTTTTTTCCAGATCACACTTTAAGCGCACATTTAGCATTGTCACAGGTGCTCCATCAATAACCAAGTTGACACGACGATCTACACTGTACTTCACAGTACTCACGCCAGTTTCTCTATCCAAACGACTGGTTAACTAAAAAGACAAATCAGTTTAGGAATATGTTTGCAGGTTTGGTTGATATGGTGTTTCATATTTTATCCAATTATTTATTAGATCTATTTTATTCATATTGTTGAAGTCTGCAATGTCAACAGATCAATATTTAAAAAATTAAAAATAAGAGTTGAAACTTACCCTTGTTTGATTAAAATATCTTTTGTTGTCTCTTGTTCTTAAAGCATTATGATTATGAAGAAATGTGTCCTTTCTTCCTGTTTTGAGTCCCTTTGGACGTCTTATCTGAAAGAAATGATCAACAGTGATACAGATATAGGAGTACATATGTGACAGGTACAGATAAACAATCATCATATTATAGTAAAAATATATATAATGTACGCATGTAACATACACAGATATACATAATGTACATATGTAACATACACAGATATACATAATGTACACATGTAACATACACAGATATACATAATGTACACATGTAACATACACAGATATACATAATGTACACATGTAACATACACAGATATACATTATGTAACATACACAGATATACATAATGTACACATGTGACATACACAGATATACATAATGTACACATGTAACATACACAGATTTACATAATGTACACATGTAACATACACAGATATACATAATGTACACATGTAACATACACAGATATACATAATGTACACATGTAACATACACAGATTTACATAATGTACATGTGTAACATACACAGATATACATAATGTACATGTGTAACATACACAGATATACATAATGTACATGTGTAACATACACAGATATACATAATGTACATGTGTAACATACACAGATATACATAATGTACATGTGTAACATACACAGATATATATAATGTACACATGTAACATACACAGATATACATAATGTACACATGTAACATAGACAGATATACATAATGTACACATGTAACATACACAGATACACATAATGTACACATGTAACATACACAGATATACATAATGTACATGTGTAACATACACAGATATACATAATGTACATGTGTAACATACACAGATATACATAATGTACATATGTAACATACACAGATATACATAATGTACATGTGTAACATACACAGATATACATAATGTACATGTGTTACATACACAGATATATATAATGTACACATGTAACATACACAGATATACATATTGTACTTTTGTAACATAATGTACATATGTAACATACACAGATACACATAATGTACATATGTAACATACACAGATACACATAATGTACATGTGTAACATACGCAGATATACATAATGTACATGTGCAACATACACAGATATACATAATGTACACATGTAACATAGACAGATATACATAATGTACATGTGTAACATACACAGATATATATAATGTACACATGTAACATACACAGATATACATATTGTAACATATACAGATATACATATTGTAACATATACAGATATACATAATATAACACACAGATATACATAATGTACACATGTAACATACACAGATATACATAATGTACATGTGTAACATACACAGATATATATAATGTACACATGTAACATACACAGATATGCATAATGTACACAGGAAGCCCTGGGCGATGGATGGACCTGGCTGATGAAGACGAGGGTTGAGCAGCTCCATCAACATCTACTAAGAAAACATAAATTAGAAGTATTTGACCTATATATACTGAACTTAATGTTAATATATAGATACAATGTTTATATTACAGACCTGCAGACGAGCTTTTAATAATCTCACATACAGTTCATCATCCTCACGTCCCCAGCCCCAGTATCTATTGGACATTCCATTCACCTGTAAAACACCAACATTAACATTGCTCTTTTAGAGAGGACATATTCATTTTTACTTTCAATAATTTTAAACAATGACAATGATACACAAGTAATAATAATGATTCTGATGAAGCCTCACCCTTAGAGGTGACACTAGTTAGCCATAATAAATTACCCACTAATTGGTGATGTTTGGGTTCATTGTGATTGAATCTATCTTTATTAATTAATGATAATGTGATATACAGAAGCAATATAATAAGTTGTTGTTTACATTAATGATATACTTGAGTTTGAAACTCAGCTATTGAATATAGATATATAATGATAATTTACCATGGTTTTCTAACCTTGTACAATTTTCCAGTCTTGCTTATAAAATTAAACTTAAATAATCATACTGTGTAACTTGTTTAAATACTTGTGTACATGAATGTATCAATGAAGGTAAACAACAGCATACAAGATTAAATTTATCAATGAAGGTAAACAACAGCATACAATATTAAATTTATCAATGAAGGTAAACAATAGCATACAAGATTAAATTTATCAATGAAGGTAAACAACAGCATACAAGATTAAATTTATCAATGAAGGTAAACAATAGCATACAAGATTAAATTTATCAATGAAGGTAAACAATAACATACAAGATTAAATTTATCAATGAAGGTAAACAATAGCATACAAGATTAAATTTATCAATGAAGGTAAACAATAACATACAAGATTAAATTTATCAATGAAGGTAAACAATAGCATACAAGATTAAATTTAAAAAAAGAAGAAAACCAAAACCCATACCTGAATGAAATGGTCTTTGTTCATAAGAAGAATTCCACCAACAAATTTAGAGTAATTATATTTAGGATGATATTCTGGTGAGGCAACATGGAAAGGTCCTAACTCTGGAAAGCCGTAGTCTAGTTCTGGGTTCAAAGGTAGCAGGTCAACATCATGCATGGCAATATAATCACAATCTGATCGACTTTCTAAGAAACCAACATTGATCAAGGAAGCTCTGTTGAATCTGAAGAGAAAAATATGTAAAAAAAAGTTCAGTATAATTTTTTTTCTTTTCATTGAAGAGATGTTACATAATGAATCAGTCATCAAGCTATCATAAGTGCTGTACAACATGTACTATTGATTAATAACTATTGAAAAAAGTTTGGACGATTAATCCTACTTGAAGAAAAATTCTGAAGTGGGACAAATATGAAAGTTATACCTCTTATGATGCAATAGTTATGGCCAATGTTAAAAATTTTCAAATGTAGGTCAAAAGTCACTATCAAGGTTACATGGTCAAACTTTTGGTACCACTGGAAAAGTCTTTTCACAAGGAACACACATGGTAAATATTAAAGCCCTTACTTTATATGGTGCAATATTTATGGGCAAGGTTAAAACAGACAAACACTAGACAGACAGACAGTACAAAAACAATATGCACCTGATCTTTTCAATCCACGGGACATAATAAAGGAAAATTGACTGAAAACCAGAAACTTTAGCTTATGCCCCTGTATTGTATATAATTGTATAATTGCAGTGTATTATATGCAGAAATTACCAATTTCAAATCACTTGCAAACAAAGTACTTTCATCTTTGTTAATCTATAACTAACATCTTAATGTTCATGTCACATACTTTGTGGCTTACAAGTAGAACATCTTTACACTGACCTGAAATTATCCACTTGGTTTATGACATAAATCCGATGAGCTATGTGTTTTCCATTCAGATAATTATACATATAGGGTACAAACTGCAACAGCTCCTCCAATCTATCACGGTATGGAATTATAAGTGCCATCTTATGAGGAGGTTGATCTGCATCCCCTAAATCAGATCGGGCACCCTGTTGAGGTTCGCCTCTGGGGATAACTGGGTCTAAGGGATTAAAGTGTTTGTCTGAATCATAGTTGAGATTGCATTTTTTCTTGGCTTCTTTACACAACACAGACAGGTCAACTGCCGGAGAAGGAATAGAACAACCTGCTATGTCCTGTAGAGGGTATAAAGAAAGTATAATCATGAACAGTAGGCAGCAGATAAGTCCCAAAATCAGGCATTGTCCCTTTCGGCACCTCAATGTATGCAAATCCATCCATATAGAGAAACACTGCCTTGAACCATTTGGCAAGGAGACAGCCAGAGTCTTGAGAAACAGTTTGTTTCAACCTGCAAACATCAAACAGAATTTTTTTTTCTAACACAATTTGGAACAAATAAATGGAAAAATGGAATTTATCGGATTTCTTTTGGTTAATTTCATAATTAGATCTCTCAACATTGGAAATTGCAAAGGAATATTTTAGCTTTTTTACTTGAAAAAAAAAGGATTATTGAAATTTTAAAACATTATTACCTTTTATGAGCGAGGTATAAATAGATATCATTTGAAGTACCACTTGTTTTTTTGCAGTAGGCACAAGGAAGGTAAAACATAACACATTGATACATGTATAACTTACATAATATTACATATATGGCGTACTTACATGTTACACGATTGAAAAAAAGTAATTGTCTGATTATGATAATTTTATGTCACAACAACCAATAAACAGGATCACTGGTATACTACATAACAGCCAAGCTCTTTACTGGCAATTTTAGTCATGGTAACGTTAATATTCTAAATTTCCTTGTCACAGAAGTAGAGTTACTGTGGCCATATTTTTAAAATGCTATTTAACTTAACTTATTTTCTCAAAATTAACTCAGTACTGTTTTTTACTGGGGGTATACTACTTCATGATTTTTAAAGACACTGAAACTTTAGTATCTTTGAATTCTTCAGAATTTTTTTTCGCAACATTCAAACTGGAAAGTATGTATATACATGTACATACAAACTGCCAAACCAGGTGGAAATCCAGATATATGAATTAATGTCAATAATAGTAAACACTTTGCCACACCACAAGTATGATTTCTATTATCATTGTTTCATGCAAACATTGTTATTAGAAAAATGCAACATCAATACATCGACTTAGATACATGACATTTTAAACACTATCAAAGGAAATAAACATTTTCTGGGGCAGCGTTGTTACTTCGCATTACCAACCAATATGTTGAGGTCAACACAGGCACACAAAATGCTTAAGTCACAATGATGGCTCAACTGATCACTCACTGGGACTCAGAAAATCCCTTTGTTCCTTGAAGTACTGACCGAGTTCACAAAATTTTCCTACATATGTTATTGTACCAAAATACAGTACTTTTATCGACGAAATGTGGCATAATGTAGAATGTACAGAAGCATTGCTCTTTCCAGGCATTGCTCTCCTCATATTGATTATTGTATGTTTGTACTGAACAGGTTGTTCAAAATGCTGCATACTGGTAATAGATCTATCTGCAATTGAGGGATAGTTACTGTTAAATAGTAAAAATAGCATTAGACACGACTATTAGCCATGAGGAGCACAGACCATTGGGACACATCACACATATGTGGCAGGTTTGACTTTTCATATAATGTAAATTAAATTGTCTCCATAATCGTTAAATTTTGTTTATTAGTCTGCTGTATCTATTATTTATTGTACATGCTGTATGTCCGTACTTACCTGAACATATTGATATCATTATAGGGTGTAGATTACCCACTAGTAATCAATTGTATTATATTTTATTCAACTGATAGTGATGTTCCATATTAATATGTTTTAATCATATTTGTATGATGTTTATTTACAGTGTAGTCATATCGTTTTATTATTGTATATTCACAGAGTTCATACACTTTCGGTCGACAGTAAACTATGGTCAGAACTCTCAACAGGTTTTGTTTCTTTATTTGAACATGGTATAGCCAACCTGTTACACATACAATGTAGTACTCCTTTATATATGATATATGAAAATATATATATATATATATATATATACAATGCATCATATACAGTAAGGTTATTTATCCAAAGGTTCCAGACTTGAATTACCCAGTTGTACCCAAGTTTGATGTGTGTCGTATGTACAATTTTTATCCATGTATGTATTAATATTGTAATCAAGTCCCGTACAGGATTGTGAGTTTGAGGCCCAATCAGGGCACAAGTCAAAAATTGTTTTCTGTCGTTAATTGTGTTTCAATGTCCTAAATATCAATAAATCAGCACAATGCATTATATACAGTAATGTTGTTGATCGAAGGTTCCAGATTTGTATTACCTTATTGTATCCGAGTTTGATAGGATATATATTTATAAATAATACTGTAGGTCATAGTCTACCGGATTAATTTGGCTAATGCAACAAAATGCCTGTCAAAAGTTTCTCGCCATGTAATTTCACCAACATTGTTAGTGTAGTTACATACACTACAGTTAACAAGGAGGCATATGATCTCCACTTGCCTATCATCTTTCTCATCACTGACTGACTCCACCTATATTTGGTCACCAGCACTCAGTTGTGGAGTGTGACTCCACGCTACACCACAACACTACTCTCTGCCAGCTTGGAGGAGCGTTATGTGGAGTCATTTATTTCTCCATGCTTGCCTTTTCACTTATCTATAATGTAGGCTTAAAAATTAATATTTTAAGTCAAACATGTTGACATGGATAGCAATTCTTCAAATCCTAATATTTTGCTATTGATATCAGAAAAATACACCCTGTGACATGGATATATCTGTCCATATAGAATAAGTATCTTTTTATAAGCAAGACGAAAAGTAGTTCTGACAGTAGATTGAAATTGGTTCATTTACACCATAAAGCAGTCCAGTAATAATACAAAAAAAAAATGATATTTTAGTGTGAGTGAAAACTATGTACATCATATACTATTGGTTCATACACCACGATCAAATAGCAGTTTCTCAAGTCGACACTTGTCCATGTCACAGAAAACATTAGTTTCGTAGCTTTTACATCAACTGTTTGCTACACTTCTAACTACAGCTTTGTGATTGGGGCTTTTTTTCTTTTTTAGGTACAAATATTGAAATTCAAGTATCTGTGTTTGCAGGGACGTATGTGAGAGATACGTCCCTGGTGTTTGTCAATATTTCACTAGATTTGCCAGCCCAACTTAACCTGAGATCATATGATCTTAGGGACATGCGTCAGCCTTGCATGAAATTATGTTCTATATCAAATATATTGATTTTATGTCAAATACTTTCATCATAAGGCATATCTGAAGTTTTTTTTCATAATTTCCAAGAAACATTCACTGTCTTCAAAACAGTTGCCAATGCAGTCTTCACATGTAACAGACAGACTCTAAACCTCTATGTTTAAACAATCTGCATGGAAGTACAAAAACCAATGTTTCAAGAGATACGATGTGACAAAGGTCAATCTTTCAGATTGATAAAACAGGTTTATAATAGCTGGTTTGATAAAATAACAGACATTGACAAGGGCACGTGTAAAAACAAATATTTTGGCACAAAGCCTTTATCATTAACCTTAATTTATTTTCAATATTTATCCAAAAAAATATATAGTTGATCATCATCAAAGAACTTCTGTCACATTTAAGTGGAAAGTGGAGATTTTTTTTACAATGTGAAGTATTTCAAAATATACTTTCACTGATTTTTTCTTTTTCGTGAAATCTATTGGTTTAAGCTCAAGTTGTACAGTAGATAGGAGTTACAGTCGTATGATGATGGAGATACGGTAGAGAAAAAACGTGCAGGTGGAGCGAGGGGACAGTCTTCACTTCTACGACTCGAGCATGTAGTCAAGGTAGAGTCACCACAATGAAGCATAAGGTGGATATTTTTTTATTCAATCTACGCTTAGCCCCTCCACCGGATAACTTGGAGAACGTATGTAAGAGGGTGTAATCTACTCCCACGTCACTTTGTGATTTTTTTTTCACTCACCTAATTGCTTACCGGTACATCAATGAACAGATCTGAAAATGGTTAAATTCTACTGCATCTTGTAATTCTTAGATAAGGCTATGATATGTTGGACAGTTGGAGTGCGAGACTTAAACAGAGACACGTATTTGCAGGCACCTCTATCTGGAATTTTACACTTCATGCCCAAGCGATAATTGATAATCTATCGATAACCTGAAAATGAGTAAGTCGCATATGTCATTTTTCTTTAAGTGAAGTAAACTGTAAGTACAATACCTTTGAAATATTATTAGTTTCTGCTGCTGTTTGACACGTTCACCATCTCCCAAATCAGAACCGGAAGTACGTGATGAATGTATAAAAATAAACACACGAAACGGGTTGTAATTATCTTAAAATGGCCTCCTTAATGTAATATGTATTTTCCTTTCTTTCCGTTATAGGTCTTTACCGACAATTGATCTTTTTCTTCCGAACTAAATGGAAATTTTCTTGCTGGAAATTGAAATTCACAAACGAACAATTTAAGAAGAATCCGGAACAAGACGTTTTTATTAATTAGAAGAAAACTTTCTACTTCCGCAATGGCAGCCTTCATGGATTTACACGTGAAAAATACCGATAAAGTGTCGCTGAAAGAAACACTTCGCCAAGCAGAAAGATGTATGTATATTTTGTTTCTTAAATATACACTTTATTCTGAATTGTCAAAAACTTCAAATATTGCTGAGAACTTGCCCTGTGCGGTTTGCATGTATTGATATCTAAATGGTCTGCGGCAACTTGAACTTATTGTGCATGTTACTTTCACTTTGTTTGTGTTTATCTTTGAAGTAAAAGAGTTCGCAAACAGAACCGTTGATCAGTACTGTTTATAAAGCAATACAACTTCTTTTTTAGCTGTCATTATCTTTCTTTTCTATTTATATAAGAATTGTGTATGTCATTTTAATATTTTCTGATAGCAATAGAAATTAAATTGAATTTAGTGTTTGCGTGGTAGTGGTGAGTGCGTGTGTGCATGCAGTGTACTTGTGTATGTATAATATATGCATCTTGGCTAGATTGTACATTTAATATATGTGTATGCATATGTTTACTTGCATATGTATAGCTATATCAATGAAGATATATAATGGTGATATTTGTGTGATTCTTTTATAAGATCGGAGATATGCAAAAGTCTTGTTATGTCATATGTGTGCAGAGGTATATGCGTGGAAGTGCATATTATCTCATTATATATTCCTAGTATTCAATGAAATTTATTGGATAAAAGGATAAGTTAAAAATAATCAATTTACTATTATAACACACTAGAAAACTTACTAGTTCAAAACTAACAAACTAGGTTGTGTTATATTGTAAATCAATTTTTGATATCACAAGTCCTAGTGTGTTTTCATGGAAGTGAGAATATCGATGTATGTTCCATTGATTCTAAATTTAGCCAGTATCTTAATAGGTTCTGGGTTCATTTTTTTTTATCTATTTAGTGTTTTGAGGTTATTGTTTTATGTTTATGGCATGCCCATTCGATAAAAAAGAATTGAATGTACATGCATGTTTATACTACAGGTAGAAATCGGTGTAGCTTGTGTGTGTCCTAAAGACTCTGTATCTTAAATATTTGTAATTTTTAGCTGTAAAGATTTTGAGTAAGGAAAGAGAGAGAGAAATGTAACTATATTGGGGTCAGTGGCTAAGGTTAGGTGGTATATCAGACTCTTGTCTTTCACATAGAAAATTCTCAATCAGACATAACTGATCACCTGTTAGGGCACAATGACTGGATACTGGTTTCCTCTCGATATTCTGGTTTCTTCCAACAGTACAATCATTTCACTGCTGCTAATTTTGTTAATGCTCACATATCTGTACTATATTTGGGCCAGAGTGAATGTGTTGAACTTATCTCCATGAACTATCTGGTATTAACTTTCAGTTAGACTTGAAATTTATATCTTGAACATATATTTTACAGTGGGCTTTGATGTTGTGGCCATAAGCTGTTTTGTAGAGGATTTACAATCTGTTTCTAAAGGGAAGAAGAAGCAGAAAGATAATGTAAGTATGATATCAATGACAGATCAATTGTTATCTGAACAGAAACATTTTTGCTGCAGTTTAATTTTTATTCAAACATATTCATTTAAAGATTAAAATTACCTCAGAAGGAATGTTTTTATGCCTGAAATATTAGTTCATTTTGTATCATAAAAGTTATTACTTATAATATACTTCTAATTTTGTAAAGAAATTATTCATGCTAAGAGAATACATTATACAACAATCATGTGGAAATGTTAACAAATCTATGAAGAGTCATCTGAGGAGAAATATAAAAAAGAAATGGAAGTGTACGGTTTTTCTGCAGAAGAAATTCAGATGCAGATCATTTATAAAGTCATCCTTATATAGGCTTGAAGTGATTCTGTTAAAAAAGTGGAAGGGGTGGATTTCTCAAATGTCTAAATGGAAATGGGGCGCAACCTTTAACCCCATTCAAGATATGTAAAAGAACATGAAAATATTAGATATACATATCCTCATGGTATAATATGAGTATGGATGATTTTTTAATGTGAACTTGATTTACACTGGTTTTAGGTGTTGACTTCACAAGCTTTGCTTAAATCGCAAATGGGGCATTAGTCAATATCAAAATGGGATAACTGAATCAATTTGATGTCTTATATAAACTAATAACATCTATACATGTATGTGCATATATATTTCATTTGTAAGTGATCTCACTTTTCATCATGCAGTCATATGTTATTTTGAAAGATAATCAATTTTTAATTTCCACTGAAAAGTTTATGAATGTTACAAACATTACTGCTCCTCAATGTATATACAAATTACACATATGAGAGAGTTGCTTCCCTTCATGCATGCGACTTACTGTTTTGATATGCTTTCAATCATTAGCAGGACTGAGGGATAATTCATCCAAAGAAACAATGACCTTTGATGATCTGAGGCATGTAAAACAACTGTTGAGTTGACTTTATGTGCCTTATATTATCTCAAATCCTGTTTCTGTACATAGTTGTGTTCATTACCATATGAAGCACTACATGATATTAATGTGCCACGACATGTAATTATGCCTCAACCAGATGAGAGATCCTTAACCTTGAGGATGCATGAAATATATTCACTTGTATCTTTGTTATGATTTTGATCACTTTCTTCATGCAGTCACCCCTGTACTTTCCACGTTTCCTAGTTTTGATATGAACTCAATTCAATTATGTTAAAACACATCAATTAGAAGTTCTGGCAGCAAAAGAAATAAAGTTATGTGAAATTTAACAAAAGCTTTTCATTCGAACAGCGATATCTTTCTTAGGTTACAAAATTTGTACCAGCCTATAGGAAATCATCTTTGTTTTTTCAGCAATCAAATATTCCATTGCCAGAGGATTTAATATTAAATGAGGAAGACATGAAAAGTATCAATGTGAGTATACCCAATCAGAATTTATCACACACATCATCACGTTTGAGGTGTGTAGGATGATATAAATGCATTGTGTTCATATTAACAATGTTAATCAACATAGATAATCTCAGGTCTGTACTGATAATTTGTAGTTGTTTGAATTAATCTGAAGAAAGGTAAAATTAAATATTATTCAGGTTTAAATAGTATCGTATTTTAACCTGTGTTTATACTAGACCTGAGAGCACATGATGTTGTACTTTGTATAACATATCAATTTCAGTGGTAAATACAATTTCAACCCCATTCTTTTGGTCAATATATTACAGTGGACAAGGAAAGCACCTCGGCAGTTGTCCAGAATCTCAACAATTATCAGCGACGCATCACAAACACACAAACTGGTGAGATGTTTTTGTATTTACAATATGCACCACCTAATATATACCGTAAGATTTATTATATAAATTTGGCCATACAGTGTATGTTACTATTATGTGTTTATATTTAGTTAAGGTCATATATATCACTTACACAGTTTATAAATAATTTACCTTGTTATGAGAATTAGATGATATTATGGTGATGTTGGAATGGATTTAGACAGACTAGATTGATGATCCAATTAGATGTACTGTATATATTACAATATCTTAGTGAGAATTGGACCATTATTGGTCTTTTGTGAGACAAAGACAGCAGTTATCCATGAATTTTCATGGTATTTTGTTGTTGGAATGAAAAAAGACGGTACAAGTTATCCTAAACAGATACCCAATACCAGTGCAGGACTAGTACAGATGATTGTTGTTATACGAGAGGTGTGAAAGTTTGCAGTTGGAGGTCATGGTGATGGACAGCCATATGTGTGTCTGTGTCACCTATCCGCCACCGAAATGATGTTAAAGTGAATGTTGAACTGTTTAATAAATACATTTGTAGTTTAAAGCTATTTCAGTAAACTTCCAGTCAATTCAAATAACTGGGTAGACCTAAAGCAGGAATTCAGCTGACCCGATCCAAAAGAGCTGGGTCATCATTTTCCATCATCTGTCATCCATCAACTTTTCTTTCAAATCACTTCTTGTCATAAATAACTCTGCAGTTTTTAACTAAATTTGGTCAGAAGTATCCTCAAGAAAAAAGGAACAAATTTTGACTAAATATTGGGTCGAACTCCCTAGGGGTCCGAGGTGCAGGGCCAAAAGTAGAAAATTTTGTAAGTTCTTTAATATCCAACTCCTCCTTTAGAATTGGATAGATGCTGCCCAAATTGGTCTGAGGCATCTTTGGTTGAAAGGGACTCAATTTTGTTTAAAGGATGGGTCTCAGAAACCCCCTTGGGCTAGAATTGGCAAGACCAAATATGAGAAATATAGCACATTTTTTAATATCCCTTTTCTTTTGTAGAAATGTCTGGGTATCATCTAAATTTGGTCTGAAGCATGCATTTGTGAAGTGAAATCTTTTTTGTATAAATAATGGGCGAAATATGGGAAAAAGAACAAACACAAACAAAGACCTTTCTTCTTCCATAGAAATAAGTGTTTGATCTGAAGTATCATTGTGTGAAAGAGACTCAGGTTTGTTCTAAATGGTTGGTCCCTGCCCCTGAAGCATGCTGAGTCTTGTTCCTTCCTTGGGTGGATGGGACAGGGCCCAAGAGGGGGTATAGTGTAAATTTTGGAAATCCTACTACTTCTGCAGGAATGGATTGATTTTACCCTAACTTGGCCTGAAACATTCTTGGATGAAAGGGAATCAATTTTGTATAAATGGTGGGTCTTGACCTTGAAAAGGATAGAGCCCAGTAGGAGAAATAGAGCAAATTCTTTAAAATCTTGTTTCTTCTATGGGAGTGATTGAATTTTGCCCAAATTTGGTCTGATGCATCCTTGAGCAAATTGAAAGCAGTTTTATATAAAATGATGGGACGAAGCAATGGCATTCAGTCAAAGCTAGGTGAACAATACATGGCCTATGGTTCTTGTATCACTTTTTGGCATTATCTTAATTATGAAAACATGATACTTATTTCATATCTAGAGTTTTGGATCTCAAACTGAGTTTTCAAGAACTTTGAAAGCAAACTTCTTATATTTACATCCCTTCACCCATTCTCAACCATTTATTTGAATAGTATATACGAAGCAACTAACTAGGGATGTATTACATATATATGTATGATACATTCCTGAATTGGCGTTTAAGTATTTTACTGTAGATATCAAGGATCATCACAGAATGACCAAAATTAACAATTCCCTTCCTTTGATCTTGGATCTTTGTAAAGTTGAGATTTGTAATTGCACAGGGACATGCGCATGTATCCGAAAACTCAGATAATGGGTGGTTGTATCAGGAGAGGTTGTTGCCCTTATTTTGTGTTTTGTTTCTAAATCCTTTCTTGCTGATAGTGCTATTTAGCTATATATCTATATATGCAAGAAACAAAGTTTTTTTTAGGTTACTTGCACAGATGTGGTGTGGTCTCTTTTAAGCTGTAATGACACATACAGAGTTCAGCAATTTCCAACACAAAAATAGCATCATGGATTAACAGTTTATTACCACAAGAGATTTACATTTAGGATAGGCTTTCCTGTGGTATCAATAAGAAAACAAGTCCATGAAATTTGAGTGATTTACGGTATGTAGATAAAAGACTGTAAGCAAGATGTGGTTGTGACTTTCATGATGCCAGATGTAATCAAATCTGGTTGCCACTGGTATCAACATAAGAATCAATTTTTGTATTTCACAAGTTCTGTGACTTTCAGTGATGTGTTTTGTTCTCCTATGGTATGATTTTTGAAGGTTTATGATTGTTTTTTAAAGTTACAGCTGTGACGATTTTATGAAACAAAAGAACCATCAGATTGATGTACAATATATTGTACATATGTATAAAATTCCAAATATGTGATGAAACACATAGAAGTAATTTAAATTCTTGGTGCAGGAAAACTACTATTCCTATCTGTGTATTGTTGTGTGAAATGAATAGATAAATATTCAAGATGAAATTCATGTCTTTGTTGTTGATTGGATGAAAGAATGGAGTAAAAAACAGAATTTGTATGTAACAGATTTAATGTTAAACAATAACTGCTCTATAAAGATTACCTTTGATTGCAATACTGCTAAAACATAACAGTCATACAATGTACACATGCTAATAATTATGTAACATTTCAAATATATCCATTCTATGTAAAGCTACTATGGGTAACTTCAGTTTTAGGTTTGAGGATTCAAACTTGTTGCGTACATGATGTGACTTGTTCTAATTTGAAAACATGTCTCGATAGACACAAATTTACACGGCGGTTGTCATTGATGAAGTAGTAGATGCTTACTCATCCAGAACGCCTTGCAGTATTCTCTTTGTACAATTTCAGGAGTATCCATGTAAATCTCTCTCTTTTTTCCACAAGATTGATTGAATTTGAGTTTGGATTATGCTAATATTGACCTGTTGGTACATTGTATATGTTCTTCTTTCTTGTCCAATGAGAAATGTTTTAAGATTAAATTTGTGACCTTACACTATAAGATTGCCATCCCATGTAGAGTAATTGCAATAGACACCTCAGTAAAAAAACATCCATGTTCTCTGGATCGTTCACAGTCATACAAAGATTACACTGAAACGGTCCCTTTTTTGTCTTACACCACACCACCGATACAATGAATCGTACTTTACCCCCTGATATTAGTAGTAGGACACATCTCAGCTCTGTAAACATTGTTATTAATAAACCTGTTTGATATAGGTTGAAAATATAAATGTAATTGATATATATATATATACTACTCACAATTTGATAGGGATCACACCAAATAATTAGCAAAATTTTCTTTTAAAATAAAATAATAAGTATTCCTTATATTTATTGGTTTATATCTGTACCGAGGTCTATGTGTATCGGGTGTTTATGTGGTCAGTCACCTGTAACGCCTACACGTAACGTGTACATGCACGAGCCTCCTACGTGCAGATTGTCATCAATACGTTTGTGGCAGAATATCTCGCTTTTTGCTTTACATTTTGAATTTAAATCGTTTCAAAATGCCCCGACAGCAGGCTAGAAGACGTCTAAGCACTTCAGATATGGACAGGGGCATTGGTATGATCCAGTCTGGTAGGTCACAAAGGGAGGTGGCCAATGACCTTGGTGTGTCCCAGAGTGTTGTGTCCCGTATGTGGAACCGTTACCAATATTATGGAACTGTCTCCAGAAGACATGGTGGGGGTCGGGAACGACTTACCTCGCAGCGTCAAGACCGCTATCTTGTTATTGCAGCTCGACGTCAAAGGTTCATCAACGCTACGTCACTACGTAATGACTTCCAGAATGCCACCGGAACTCGTATCTCCACACAAACTGTGAGAAATAGACTTCATGATGCTGGTTTAAGGTCGCGTAGACCTGTTGTGAGAATTCCTTTTACGTTACGACATGTTCAAGCTAGACTTGCTTGGGTTTGTGATCATGTGAATTGGAACCTCCAGGACTGGTCCCCCGTACTTTTTACAGACGAGTCTAGATTTTTCTTAGATTTCACTGATCGACGTGCCAGGGTGTGGCGCTAACCAAATGAGAGGTTCCATGCCGCTAACGTTTCCCAACATGACTGATACGGTGGTGGATCTGTTATGGTTTGGGGTGGCATTAGCATGCAAGGCAAGACCGACCTCCATGTGTTCCTTAATGGCAGCTTGACTGCACAGAGGTACTGTGACGAAGTCCTGGACGTGTACGTCAGGCCTTATGCTGGTGCTATAGGTCCAGAATTCATTCTTATGGACGATAATGCGCGACAACACAGAGCTCGTGTGACTGAACAGTATCTGGAAAGGGAAACAATTGAGAGGATGGACTGGCCATCCCGATCTCCAGATCTCAATCCTATAGAACACGTGTGGGACATGCTTCAGAACGCTGTTTCGGCCAGAAACATTCAACCTATAACGCTTCAGGAACTTCAAGCAGCTCTCGTCGCTGAATGAACAAGTATTCCCCAAAACCGGATACGAGACTTGATCAGAAGCATGCGCCGCCGCTGCCAGAGCGAAGTTGATGCTGGAGGTCATTATACTCGATACTAACACTGTATTTTTCGCTGAACAACACTGTTTCGTAGGACTTAATTTTTCACCGCGTTTGTCGTAATTTGTATCTGTGTACAATGAGCATTGAAGCAAATTAATACTGTTATTTTTAGCTTGGTGTTGTTAAATCATCATCTCATAATGCCGAAATATATATAAATTGGACTGTAGAATATATTTTTAAAATAGATACCGTTACACATTAAAAAAAATCCCTATCAAATCGTGAGTAGTATAGATCATAAATGTCCCATTATGTCTCTGTAGCTAAGTTTATTTATAATACATTTGATGATCCATGTTAATATTATGCCACATTTTCAAGTAAACAAAAATTTAGTACATTATGGAGTATCACTTTCTATTGCTCAGTGATATATACGAAAACAATATTGGTAATAACAGAATTATTCACCTTCACAACAACATAAAAAAACATTCAAAATTAAAACACCATCTGTTCAAAATTGTTATATTTCTTTTTAATATATGTTGAAGTTGACACAAACGACATATAGCCTGCAAAGCATATAAGATTGTAAGTGAGGAGCACTTTCATTACAAATTTAGAGAATTGAGCTACATCATACAGCTGTTTCCTCCTGCCTCGGCTCGTCACAGGTGCAAAGGACATAATCTGAACTTGTTCCTGCAGTGTTTCGAAAGGGAAGGCGGGGATCAAAACAATTGACAGTAGGTAGACAGGTTCTGCAAGGTCAGTGCTAATTAATAATGAAAACACTCAATAGCAAATTGAAGTGCTCTTGAACTCTCCAGAGACTGCGAGGAAGATCTAGACAGGCGCACGGACACCACTTATTTGTAGTTCACAAGTGTCTAATCTAGTGCTTTACAGAAGACTGACATGTGAAAATGCTTAATTCATTTCAGGCCCAAGAAAACGTCCAGAGATTTGATTTGGTGGCCGTTCAACCTACTTCAGAAAAAACGTTTCATGTGAGTAATTTATTGTAGAGAATGAGACAGTATGTCAGGAAGGTGATTTGTGTATAATGAACCTGAAAGAGACAACTATTCATAGTTGATTTTATTGTGTAGCCCATCATTAAAGGAAACATATTTATGTGAATTGAACTGTTGTACGTTGCGTGTTTGCCCTGGTTGTTCAAATGCTTGTTAGAGATGATCAATGGTTAGTGATACATCGGGAACATTCTTTATTTTATCATATTTTTATTTATTGGATGGCCGGATTGATAAATTTGAAGTGTTTTAGGTCTCGGTGTCTTCCGATTAATTTTATTCATCAGATTTGAATGAAAATTGGCAAAATTTTTTCATTAATCACAGGTTAACTCTAATTGTTAAACAACTTTAGCCTTGAAATCGATGTTAGCATTAACGGGTATTTGATGACAAAGGCTTACTTGAAATTTAAGATAATGAAAATAGCTATTTCCTATCACAAAAATTACTCATAGCAATTTCGAATACAGTTAAATCTTTAGATGGTTCAGCGAGTCACTAAACACTTCACATAAATCATAAAATAGACCAGAAATGTCTCAAGTTATTTTTAAAAGTTGTGAAATATTCACGATTTCTTATGCATCCGTGAACGTAGAGGCAATAAAAAACACAAAACATTAACGAAATTTACCGCACCAGCTATCGCTATCACGAAAGAAAATATGTGCTGCCACAGGAAATGTTCCCCCAAAACACCTGTCAATCGTATATGCTACACTTGTGTTCTTATCTTTTTTCAATCGAATTATCGGAGATCTACTGCATTTATCATTTTACCAGGGATTGTAACGGTTTTTCATTATCCAATGTGACTAGGTTTCTTGTTCAAGATGTGATTTTCCTTTTTACCGTTAACTTTCAGCTGGCTTGCTTGACACTTGATATAGACATCATTATCATCGACGTTACACAGAAACTACCATACTTTATCAAAAGACCTTCTGTGAATACGGTAAGACCTGATTTTAATGCCCTCCCTACAAATCACTCTCAATGTGTAATGTTGTTGTCATGGAGTGGTCAGAGGAAGATAAAATACAAATGTGACTAATTAAGTTTTCTCATGTATTGCCATTCTCTTCTCGTTCAATTTCATTTCGTGAGGATAATCGTATGAATCTGGTTTAAGTTTTCTCATCCCCTAGACAGTAACAAAAGCGAGAATTAATTCGATATTTAAATGAATTACAATTATTGCATGTCTTGTCGGTCTTGAGTGGGCTTGTCTCCGAGATGGACAGGATTGGAAAATAAGTGATCTGGAAGTATTTTTACCTTGTTATCTGAGTAACAATTTCTGAATTAATTTTAAGAAAAGCACTATTGTGTAAAATGTGTATGATATGAACATTGTTAGGACACAATCATGTAGAATAGGATAGTGTATTTTTGTGACTGACTGTCACGTTTCTAGAGAAATCATTTGAGCTTTTCTGATGTTGAGGTTCTCATCTGTACCTTCCTTTTTATCCCGCCATCTGTTCTGTCCGTCCTGCTATGGCTTGATTAACGGATTTCTTTTAATCACTCTATGTAGGATTTTGTAGGAATCTTGCTTTGTAGACTTATTGCCATTATTCCTTGTCCAGGTTCGATTATTGGCAACTTCTATGCACATTAAGAGAATGCCGTGACCTGATTGACTGATATCTTTCGGCACTCTAATTGAATGCTTTCCACACGTTTTCTTTGGAAGGAACAAAGAAATTTTGAAAAGACTTGCTTGTTAAACTTGATACATAATCTCCTCACCAAAGTTCGATCAACCGTGAATCCCATGTATATTTAATCATGGTGCTCTTACCTTTTTTTACCGATTTCTTGAAACAGTCTTGATGATTGCTTTCAACACCTATTTCAAAGGAATAATCAATTTTTTATGAGACTTGTTGGCAGACTTGGTACCGTAACCACTCTCTTAAGTTTGATTATCGGCTAGTTTTGCAAATTTCTAATGTGGAAGCTGTAACCTGAATGGCTTATTGCTTTGCACAGAATATCTTCAGAAGTAATAATAAATGATCTTTATAAGACTATACACACTTCTCGTACCGATTCAGAGACTTAGACGCCACAAAATCATGGAATAATTCTAATAATGATAAGAAACACAACAATAACAAAAGGTCCTTTCACCAGTTGGTGAAAAGTCCTAATAAAACAATGATAGTAAATCTACAAGGTGTTTTTAGAAGTTGCGCTATCGCCGGGTATGATTTGTTTTACTGATAGTAACTTTCATGCAATTTTACATAGCTGACTATTAGATGCCGTATTGTATTTTATTGATGTGTGTAAACCATTCACTGTTTTGTCATACTTAGTAATAGAATCATTGATTGATCCAGTATCACTGGCATTAAGTGAGAAATGTTCTGAATATAAAGGTATAATAAGCTTATTTTAATATTCACAGTATTTTGCTTCTAAATTGTTATTATATTGGTCTCTTTCAACGCAACGTTAAACTGAACATGATCATTAAACGGTTTTTAAAACTTTAGTTTTCCATGTTGCTCACTTTGAATGTATATATTTTACCAATGAGAGGGAGAGGTCTTGATGACTATGTCCTCCTTGTACTCATTTAAATCACAATTTGAAATACAAGGATACAAAATTCAAAATATATTACATTATCTAAAGATAAATGATACTTTATTTCATTATAAAGATGTTAAAATGTTATTTATGACACTGAAGTTCAATATCAATTAAGATTCTATGCTGACATTTTAACGATATTGCTTCTTTTCAGTTCTAAGTAAAAACCTACGAAAATTTTACCAAATACATGTCGCTCACTTTGAGACATTTTATAAATGATTGTTGTATTTTGGTCGATATTTTTGTATTTTAGACATACTTTATGAAAAATATTTACACACAGTGTTCTCATTTTGGCCCAAGTCTGTGCAGACTCTCTAATACAGTTCATTAAAGCCAATATAAGAGGTTAAACAGAGAGTAGGAATTGTCTTGAAATGGTCCACTGTTTGCATCTACGTTTTGTATTCACAAGGCCATAGAGAGAGGGATACATTTCGAGATCAATTACAGTCCTGCTGTCATGGATACGAGTGCGAGGGTACATATGATCAGCAACATACAATCATTGGTCAGTGTGTGTAAAGGAAAGGTAAGTGATGTCTAACAACTTGTGTAAATACTTTTTTACATACACGTGTATATTATAAAGACAAACAGAAGGCCAAGATAAACACTTTATGTCGTCTCATAACCAGTGACTGTAAGAATTAAACAATGGCCATGACTGAAGACTTTTAATCACAAAAGTTCTGGATATGGTTTTTATTTTTATTTGTTATATTTGTTTTTTTTCATTATTTCTTTTAATCTATATGAAATCTATACATATACTCTATTCGTGAATTTAAAGTACCAACCATCAATAATAATGATACTTTATATAATAATAATCGAAAAGACAATCATAATAAAAAATGTTATCACATACTATTACTTTAATATTGTATGAAGTATTTTTTCTTGATACTTAGTGATGAAACGTATTGATATCACGTGCATTTGTATAGTTTCATTATGACATTATCATATTTTTGGATATATGTGCTTTTTAATTTTGAGATTTTGAGTATAAAGAGTTACCCTGAAAGTGTCTGACTGAAGTTAGAAACATTTGAATAGACTGTCCCAAAATCGCTATCCATAGCAATTTGAAGACAGAATGAAGAGATGAGAATACAGTAGGGCATCCGAAGTATTTGAAAAGATAGCAAATATATTCCTACATTTTCATATAAATAAAGCGATCATGTTTTTTATTTACAGAATCTGATTTTATCAAGTGGATGTGAACAGGTAAACATTTCACCTATAATATTCAAATGATTGGTCTATCAATTCACCAATATATTCCGTCCTAAATGTGACATTTGTGTGTCTGTTGAGATATTCACCATTTTCGTGTTTATTACTGCTATTCAGGTCTATCATATATAGAAAGAACATAATTCAATTTCTCCCATCCCGTAAATACAATGAAGAGTAGTTGTTGTAAAGTTGTAGAATGTAACTATTAGGTGAACTGTGCATCGTGTAGACATGGAAGATATATAAAAATCAAATGTATAACAGAAATGTAAACTTCTGGCGCTTAGTAAGGATCATGACATCGGCTTTTTTTGCAGGCTTCATCCATCCGAGGACCATATGATGTTGCTAACTTGTATCCTTTATCAAATCCCTCTTTGAAGTTAATCCATATTTGAAAAAAAAAACAGCAAATTAAACACGGTTAAGTTGTATGGTTTTCACAATAAAAAATAGATTTTTCAGGGTGGGTAATCTAGTAAGATTAAACGATACAAACGGTTTTATTGTATGATATTGACTTCTAAGTCTTCGTAACCATGTCGGTTCATTGTCAATTTGCTGTGCAGTAGGGACCTCTGCACACAATCTTTCGTGACGATGCAAGATGTTAATCTAGCGGAATGACATTTAATTAGATATTAGATGAATGACACATTAAAGGTACTTTATTTTAACAGTTTCAGGTTTTTAACAATGTTTGTGCAAATTCAAAGTGATATATGTTTTTTTTTCAATCTTTTACCTCATCCACATGCATTTGAGAACGTAAAACAATCGTCCTATACATGTATTTTTAATTTGATATCATGAGATTAAACTTTCTGTGGCGCAGTTAAATATCGAACTTCAAGGGTCTGTTCCCAGTATCACAATGTTTGGGGAAGAATAGACAATCTCATAACGAAGTATTTCAAGAGATGCATGCTGATCAAAATTATTCGAAAACGGTCGTTATAGTGATCCCTTCGAGAAATATTCTATTTCCGTCTGCGATATTTAAGCTGCACATGTTTGATGCTCGTTAGTTTGCCGATTAATTCTATAATTGTATACCTTACTCTCATTGAGAACGTGACATTATGTACTTAGATTTATGAAGGTTTACATGACGGGCGTTATTGATGACACATAAGTCGTATACTCGTTCCCTTGTAAATCCTTCTTTTCCTTATGTTTTCTGCGAGTTTATTGAATTTGGATTAAGATTACATTCACTTGTTGGTTTTTAATCGTCTTGTGAATGTCCTTTGAATATTGAATATAGATTTCTTTATATCAGTTGCGATGCATACCAGGAGAACGTCTTCATTTTTGATAAACGCCTCCAGTATTGTGATTGTGTTTAGGATGTCGAAAATGTTTGTAATACCGCAATGATTAGGCGGATTCATTTGAAGTCTTTGATACACACTGAACGCCTTTTCTATCACATTTTGATCATTAGAGAAACTACAGATGAAATAAAGCTAATGAAATGTAGATGCGGATTGATTCGATAACCTCTTAACGTGCACTTCACTTAAGCTTCACATGATATCGAAAAGATGAAATTAATTAAATAACGGGATATAGCACATCAACAATTAGATTTGAAAAATTATTTTAAATTAGGGCCAATAGTATCACATACAATGGCATGCAGTTGAATTCGTTCTTTTGTTCCATGTATCTAGTTGAATGGTACTATTCACCCTCCGTCAACCAACTTCCATTCATCACGATTCATCCCCTAGGTTTCGAAACTTTATACCCAAACATACTGTTACATCCTATAGTGTATTTTGATATGATGTGTAAAGCCAAAAATTCTTCGTGGTCTGACTTTATGTTAAAGTCGAACTCCAGATTGAATGTTCTTTATCAAATAGAGATATTTCAGAACAAGGACTTAATTTTTCTTCGTAGAAATACATTTTTGCTCTTTTCGGGAGATATTGAAACAACTAAAACTAAGTGTTCTCTTATAAGAAAAAAACTTTTATGATGTTCCGATATTTCCGGCAAAATTGATAAGACCATCCCACTGCCCATAAATAACATGTAGAATCCTAACTGTTATTGAACTAACATAATATTATTCCCAACCGCGAAATATGAAAGGCATGGAAAACAATGGCTCAGATAAACTATCGACTTGTCATTTTTAACATAACGTACCGATACATTTGTGTTCGTGAGTTTGTGTTAAACGAATCTTTGTCTGATATTCCATTTCAGTTTATATATTTTTTTGTTTCTTGCAGTAAGGCACAACTTTGGCAAATCTCTATTTAGCCCGTGATTTTATATCCATTCACTCTAACTAGAATGCTGCCACTGGTATGCTTCTGTACTCATTACTGCCTTTGAAATATTCATTCTGTCTTTTTTTTTCTATTTTCCAGTAGCATCAAACGTCAAAGCCTCAGCTGCTATCTTTTCATGTTCTGCTGATTGTGGTGTTATTACTGTAGAAAGTGCATTTAGCGGTAACTTTAGTGTAACAATTTTCGCACTTAAAACATTGCGATAACATACAATAATACGCTTCCTATCGTTATGTATCTTGTTCATAAGCAATAAGAATTCATAATTTCGTTAATTTGCCAAAAAATGTCATTGCGCTAAATTCACATTATTGTATATCAATATGTAACAATATGGTGGATATTAATGAAAAATTACTGTTTCCTTTGTTCTGTTTAGGATGCGTATGTACAAAATTTCTTTAACCAGAATAAGATCAATGCTTTTCGGTATGACACAAGCCCAAGGAAAAGCAGCAGTTTGTCGGAACTGTCGAGCGGTATTATTTCATGCAGGTGAGGATGTTGATATTAACATAGGGTTTGGATCGATAATATTTAAGTATCTTTTCGTTTCAATCTACTGTGCAAATGTTTACATTGTTAATTGTTTGGCTAATTTTAACGTTAAGCACTCGCAGAGTGCATTGATAATCCAGTCAGTTCAGTATTGCTTCATGATACTAGAATGGGGTGTTGTAATAAAGGGCAATGGAATACTAGTAATGAATCTGATAAGTGAGGAAGTTACATACATCCTTAAATTAAAAAGCACTTGAGGCACTCCGATGAACATTATTTAATGACTAGTTAATTTAAGAATGTTTTGTGATAATATTGTGGATATGTATCTCACTGGCATTTAGATATTAATTCCATCGCCACATGTGGTTAAAATGTATCTAGTATGATGCGAAGCTGACGCTAATCATACCATTGAACATTAAACTAACTGGTTCAAGTACATGAATCATTCATTAAGAACGTTAACAATTCATGTGCCGATTATCAACTTCGATTTAAGACTAAATGTAGAGAAATTCTTCCCTCTAATATATGATATCTTTATTGAGAATAATTCGGGAATACATGCGTTATTAAGTCGCTCGTGTAATAAAGCACTTGCCCTGTAGATATATATTGACTTTTCATCCATTTTAAGGATAATAATGAAGTAATCTGCATGAAATATTAATAAGGTAGAATATTAGTCATGTAAACATCACTTGATTGAATTCTGGTTTATGTTTCTCTTTAGATGGGGAAAATACACCATATAAAAGTCATGGTTGGATAATGAACATATGTAAAATGTATATGGATGATATAGAGACCTTTATACAATATCGACTTGCTAAAATAAAAATCACGCAATGGTGTTAATGTAGCACTGCTAAAACAAAAAAGTGATCTCTTTAAATAATGATCCTCCACGTATCTGTAGCCTACCGTTTTTATGAGCTGTATGTATATACATTACATCATCTAGTTATCGTTCCTTCCGGTAGGTCATGTGACCTGAAAATGGAGTAGCACTAACACCACTCGGATATTTCTACTGCCGCAACCTTCGTTCATATATCACACATCCTCATTTCCATTTACTTTTTAAGTTATTAAGAGTAATGCACCCATATTTAGGGGCAGTTGTATCTCGTTGTAGAATGCAAGTAATTTGCCTCAGATTAATCAGCCAGGTTTCCGATTTGCGCACATTTCTGGATATTTACATAATATGTCGGAAAACTTATAATTCCTCCAACATGTAACTTCATAATTTTGAATGTAGTATCTACTCAAGTGTCCAGTTAAATTACACATACCCGGAAAAGTTGAGCCTGTACAATTATTTTGGCATCATTCATGTTGCTCTTGTGTTTTGGAATTCTTCAACTTTTTTGATGTACTATATTGCAAGAGAAACACGTCATGAAATGAACATCGTTGCTATGAAGTTTAACATTACAGATCTACGGCCTTTTCCCCTTATGTATACTTTATTATTCGATTTGATGATTACACATGCTAAAGAAGTCCTTTCAAACTTTGACACCCGATGTTGTTCAAGGTGTTGACATTGAACTTTAATGACGAATTAACCGTTATTCGTTTATTCATACTTTAAATGCATTTACTTTTCCTATCATACGATAGTGCTAAAATTTTCGTTGCAAATGATATCGCACAAGATAACAAAAATACTAGAAATCGCGAGAATAAAGAAATTTGTCAGAAGACACACGGCCGTTGTAAACAACATGACGTCATTGGAATGTTGAAATTGCAACAATGGATATTTTTATGAATACATTAACTTGGAATTAGTATTAACCCCTCAGCAAGTGTTTAAAAGACACCCACGAGCATCAAATACGTTTAGGTTCATGTCACACAAAGAACTAGAACGTTTCTCAATGAGAAGACGATGGCGACCATCAAACTTCCGCACAATTTTCAACAACCTGCAATCGTGATAATGGTAACAGGCTCGTGAATATCGAATCAATTGTGGCGTAAAAATACCAAAGGTTGGAGATGTAGATATATTGCTATCCATCAATGAAAACGAATAAGCAGCTGATGTAGAAAAGTATGTCATATCTTTGATTCCCAGTTTTGGTGGATATATGTTGGACTTAATTTATAAATTTCTTGTTTATTAGACATGACTTCATTAATATATCTGAAGGGGAAATAAACGAGTTGGCAAGGTCTTTGTAACCTGTTTTGATAAGCTCTTCAATAACTTCAGGATTATATGAAAACAAAAACAAGTCAGCCACAAGAGCGGCGCAGTATATCAATGGTCTGTTGGAAGATCTTACCACCAAACTCGTTTTTACGAAATGCGCGTCCGTATAGTAAACAACCATATGTTTATACAGCCGTTTACATATTTTGGAGAAAAAAGCTCTCATAACAAGAGAACAAAAACGTTCCTACAGTTTAGAATGGGGTATGGTGGTGTACAGGGTGGAAAAATCAAAAGTTCTAAGAGAAAAAATGGATAAGGAAATAGATAATTGGGGCCCGCCTAGTAATCAAGTTTAAGTATTTGCTAGGGTTTCTTTTCAGATCCAGAAGTCAAAGACTGGGTTATTGTTGCTATGTTTGTTGTACATTTAGTGGGTAACTCGAGTTTGATGTAGCCAATCTAACCCAAACTTGATGTTGTGCTTCTTAACCAAAAGTGCTAGTTTGATATAGAATACCGTTCAGGTCTAAACGTCAAAGGTCGCTGTAACTATAAGTTAAAATAAGTTTTTGTGCAATAACTTTTGCCCAACTTTAATCAAACATCATACAATGCTTCCTCACTGCTTGCATGCGATATAGCTGTTATTATAGATTTGAATTTTGAATGTATTTGTTTTTATGGGGTTTTTTCGTAACAGTCTTTCTTCACTTTTGTGGCAGAGTGTACTTCAGGTATCTTCAGTAATTTTTCAGTCTGTGGTGCTTGTATCTAAGGGTGAGTCTGTAAGAGGTGGGGAAGGGGATTTCCAGTTAAATAACGGATCCCTTGATAACCTGTCAAGTTGGCCTGCATTTGATTAATCCAGGTACCTTTTATGGTTTCTTCGTGTATGTGAACATTCTTTCTTCTTTAATGAGCACTAAAAACCTGTTCAAATGTTAATAGAGAGATATCGTAGACAAACATAATCCCATAATCATGCGAAATTCAACGGAGAAACTGATTTTCTACGTCATATTATACCTTTGGCCATTTTCTATTTTTTGCAATTGTTAATTGATTGACGTGCTCGTTAGAAATCGGCTCTTTTTGTTGCAAATCTGATTACGTATCCTTGAATTAGTGGAATTAATTCGACAAAAGATGATATTTGTAACACGGATTTGTCTGTTTAACAGACATAATCAGACATGGTTCTTTTAATGCGCGGTTCACGACATTGTTATATTAAAAGAAATAATTGACAGCTGCAACGTTTCATTAAATCTTCTGCTGCACAGTGTCATATCAATCATACAAGGAAAGCTACCGACATATTTGGCAGAGATTGTATTTCAACCCATATGTTAGATTACTATCACTAGACAATAAACAAAAACAGTTTGATAATGTTTGATATCTATGTCATTCAACTGGATTTTATGACCTCGCTGACACAGTGTGATCACCTTGTTATTTAGGAAGCATGCTATCTGTATCACGCAATGTATGAATTTTGAAAGACAAATGTGTTGACAGCCCTTTTTTGTTTCTTTTTTTAACATATTTCATCTTTGAACTTAGTCTTAAGCTTGACAGCTTAATTAATTTGATGATGAGCATAAGTGTTAATGACAACACAAGTATATATGTATAAAAGATAAGTATACGTTACCGTTGTAATGAGACCCATGGATGGTTTCTGGATGCAGATTTAAAACAAATTAAATTTTGCTTTGCCAGAAGTTTATGTCACGATGATATTGCAATGCGTGAAGACATTACCGTTGTCATGTGTTGTTATAAATATGCAATAATATTAATAATATAAATAGTAATATCTAAGATATTTCGCGCATATGCACATTAAATACGTAGATATACCGGATTATGACTGCTCTCGAACTATTCTCGGACGAAGGTTGTGACCAGTAAGATTAACTGGGATAAAGATATATACTCACATATTTTAAGTATTTTGACCTTCATCGTTTAGTCATATATTCCTTGTTCGACAGGGCGATATACGTGTTTCACTAGGTCACATACACTCATCTTCAGTGAATACTTACAACGTGATACTAAGGACAGCGATTTATCAATACTTTCTATACATCTTTGATATTTGCTGTATTTCAACTCACGAATTTTTCGTTCTTTATATTTACATATATTATTGATATTTGAAACTTGATATCTGTTAAACTTAGTTTATCGGAAATATGTCTTCATTTGTTACAATTCATTTCAAAAAGAACTGAATTTTGAACTCTTGTTTCCTATTGACCCTCTTTTTCTGAAGCATTTCTTTATTTTTGACCTGCGAAATGCCGTCGATCGCGATGCTTAATTCTATTCAGATTAAGGGTCAATTACATCCGTGATCAAGCAAGCTATTAAAAACTTAGAAATGATTAAATGATAAAATAATCATTATTACAGGTAATGCGCAGTCATTGCATTAGAGGATTACAATAATAACAATCAACATTAAATTGATTGAGCATACTATTTGTGTATATGAATATTGTGTTTCAGAGTCGAGGCGTTCTTGCAAATCCACTATGAGTGCCTTACAAATAACCGAAGCGACATTCAGACCAAAGCGTGGCCTTATGGAGTGTGACGAAGGCTATAATAAAGGAGAGTCGAAAGCCGAGGAACAAACTACCAAAGCAACTTCAAGTGACACTGTTGTAACGTCTATTGATACGGAAATAACAAACGGCCTAATGAGTGATGGTCCACAAATGAAAAAAATGAAAACGTGATATTGCTTTTCATTTTCAGGGAACAAGTTGTTATCCTGTTTTGTGAAATAACTTTTAACTCTTCCATATAAAATTGAATTTCCCAATGTATATGTGGATATATATTAAATTTTATTAGTAATACATGTTTGATTTGTATTTATTTCCTTTCAAACACCAGCATTTCCAAATGATTCTGTTCTAACGAAATTGTTTGGGGTATATTTTCTGGTAGTGAAAGTTTGTCTATTTGTATTTTATTAAATGTAGGAAAATTAATATTAACTAATGTTATGGTTTGAACCCCCCGTTACGGAGCACTGGAGTATGTTAGAATCAACTCGGCCGTTTTTAACCCACCATCCTCAAATGGTGAGCTGTTCAATCGCTCATCGTCAGTGGTTCGTCGTCCGTCCTTTTTATGGCCAGAGCATGTCTTTGTCCACAGTTGAACAAGATTCATTGTTAGGTGATGTACAGTGCTATGTATCGAAGGAAAGCAGCATATGAATTACGAACTTTTTCCTGTGTTAAAATTTCGTGCCTGTACCAAAGTTGGTATTAACATTGATCATACTAAGACAATGTGCCCCTCCCTATTAATTGCAGTGTTATTGTAGTTGTTGTTGGTGTATTGAGCAAAACTTAAATTAGAACTGATACCGATGAAACTCAGAAATGGGGAGTTTATTTGCAGATAAGTGGATATAAACTCTCCGTTTTAACGTATTTGACAGAAATGTGTCAATAGCAAAACCAACTAAAAACCTCTAGACCAAATACAAAAAACAACATATTGGCATAAAGGCCTCTAATAAAGTTGTCACCATTTCTACTGACAGGCCTTGATACTCTGTATAGAGTCCCCACTCCAAAAGTGTTCAACCAATTCCGAAACTTAGCAGCAATTATTACAATAACCTAAAATCGTGTTGTTAATGGTGCTTTTCGATATCGCTTCCTTCATTCCATTATAATAATGTATTAAGCAAAGAAAAGACAGTGGTATCACGAATAGTAAGAAAATGTACATTATTTTTATTCGTGCAGACATGTACTGTTTATATTGTAGATTAGTATATATGTATGGCCAACACTTTTTATTTGTACGGTACTTAGTGCAGCCGTGAAGTGCCTACAAAAATGTACAAAAATACGTCGCTAATATTAAGAGCAAACGGAAGTAAAACCTAAAAACTAATGCAGAGACACAGGTGTTTTAAGCTCACAATGAACATGTCTTTTGATTGATCGTTTTTGTAATAACATTATCCCTTTCCTTTAATTGATCTCTAGTGATATGCCGATGAGGATGCGTAAAACGTATATATAAATGTGTTAGATACTTTATGTGTAATCAAAAACACTTTTCAATCAATTGTGTGTATTGTTGTACTTCTTCAATACCCAGAGAAATTAAGTAAATAAAATTCAACAACATTACATTTTAATTACATGTTTATATAGATTCACTGCTGAGTGATTTAGGAATGTTCCACCTATGTATATATGTCGTACTTGCGATGTGGATGGCTACACATTTCAAAACAGACTTCCAGATGATCAGTAGACTATTTCGATTTCTTTTTATACTGTCGCCACTGTTTTAACATGTTTTACATCTGTCGATACCCTACAGGTGGGTGTTTACACTTAAGGATACCATGGCTAGGATATCATACCGCAACCACAACAAACTATCATGTATACTAACATATCAGATGCCGAAAACGCTACAACTTCAAAAATGTTCCTTGCTTATTTACAATGAGGTAAGTAAAACTGACAGAAACAGTCTGGATTAAAGAATGATATGAGTACATTCTAAACACTGTACATGTGATATTTTTTATTGAATCTTTTGTTTCATTTATCTTCACACTACTCTGTACGTATAAAAGATTAATAAGATATCGACAAAAATATAATGACAATAATAGAAGTATTCCGTAAGTGGTAAAATCAAAATAAATTGATTATATCTGATATTTTGGAAACTCTTTCAATACACTGTTTGCAAAAACGTACTCCTATCCATATTTCATTTAGACTAGTTATAACTTAAAGCACATTCAATCAAGCCATCAAGTTAGAGACCTCCGAAACCCCAAGTCTGTACTCGACATACGACTTTTCTATAATACGCCTATATCCTCGGTCATTGTCCATTACTGCAAAAATGACCGAGTATGCTTTAACGTTCAAGTTCAAAGGTAACGAAAATGTTGCAGTGACCTCGTTTATAAACGAGAAACAACACGTTCTTAATTTAAGCTCTCGTATGTAACGAAAATTGTTCTTAGCACAAATTTTACCGCTACAACTCTTACCAACATTCTCACCAGGACAATAACAACTTCGACCGAAGCACAGTGCAACAATTAATCAATCTTTTTAAACATATATTAACAATGCAATACAAAACGGCAAGTGGGTACATTTGAACATGTGCAGAGTTTACAACTTTACAGAAATGAAGCCTATTAGCCGATTTATCCATACGCCTGAATATGCATTTAGTGCTATAAATTGACAAAAGTCTAACATCGAGGAACATTCAACCACCTTTCGCTAAAGACATCTTACTGTAAAACGACGAAGCCACGTGAGCCCCTGAGCTCGCATAAAACCTGTCTTATCCACCCATCTCGTTTCCAACCATACGGTACGGTTCACTTCAGTATACGAATTCACTAAACGACTCTAAAGCGACAAATGTAGAACTTCAGGCCACTGCTCAAATAAAACGATTCTAACTCACTTATCCCGCTTCTAATTGTGAGCTATGATTTTCTTCCATACACAAACTCACTAAATGACCCTAAGGTGACATACGTAGTGACATACGTAGAGCTTTCGCAGTGCACGAACGAATTCAACCAAGTCCCACTTGTAATTAATCACTGACAACAAGGCTCAAAATATCTAAGACGAATCGCAAGCCTGCAGCTGGGCGGCATGTTACATGAGCAACCAACCGGAAGCCGAAGGAGATAGCCGAACGAAACATTTCTGTTACACAGATATACGTGTTTCCGATTGTTATGGCCATTAATGAGAAAGTAGCGGAGAAGCTCCGTGACTTGCTTGCTTGTTTTTTAAGTATCTACTGCTACGTTCAAGGTCAAGTGGAGGTCTGAGTTACCTCACCTGTTGATACGACATGCCGTTTTCTAGTGATGCTCTTAAATGATTTTTCGTTTCGAAGATTAAATGTCATGTGCTGATGTCATGATGAACCGACGTTCGCCAAGACTGTGAAATAGCAAGATGACGAGAGAAAAAGTACCTGCTTGAGTTTATCAGGGTTCGCAACAACTTGTTACCTTCTTGAACCATATTCACGGAATAAACGTCTATTTAGTATCAATTAAAGCAGCCTAATATTCCGATATCTTCTGGGCGAAACAGCATGCAGGTCTATAATCCCTGTTTTGTTTTTTTTATTTATTTTGTGATTTTTGTTTGTTTCTTTTTTGTTTTTGTTTTTGTTTTTTTTTTTTTTTTTTTTTTTTATTTATTATTTGTTTTGTCCTTGCCCATCTTCGGATGGGTCATACATAGCTTACACATGTAGAAAGGTGAGGATAATCCTTGGTGCATAGGATGTGATGAACCATTCACCGTCAAACATTTTAAATTGGACTGCAGTGTCCTTCTTTCCTCTCGAGAATGTTTTTATCGTAACATTACATGTCTAAAATCCCTCTTTGAAACTGTTGAGATTTGTAAAATACTACATTACCTGAAAGATGTTGGTCTATATAATAGACTATGACGTATCATCTCAATCTTTTGTGTTAACATACCCATTTAAGATTTTTTCTTCGGCAATGCAATGATCGGCATTCAAGGAAGCAATGTTAAGTGTTTGTTTATGAAGAGATATAAATCGTTGTACAGGAATCCTTTAATGACAAAACTTAAATGACTGAGAAAACGAAGGCATTCCTTTTTCATGCCGACTGAGTAGAATTTTATTCAAGATCGAGTTTATCAACGATTTTTAGTACGGAAAGAACAAACGATACACCTCTACCAAAATATGTCGACCGCCGCAAATCGTGAGTATTCAACAAACATCACCTGTATAATGGTGTCGTTTTTCTCCCTGTATCTGTTCAGTTACGAATACAATATCAGCATGCCAGGATGAATTCGGTAACACTCACAATATACAAGTATTGCAAAGACTTGCTACGTTATTGAGGTAGTAACGATGTCGTGTAAGTAATTTGATAAATCCGTCTATCTACATGAACTTGGGGGGGGGGGGGGGGGCAGGCCATCAATCTCGTGAGTAACATTATGGTTAGATGTCAAGTTTAGCTTATCTTCACAATATTGGAAATTAGCCATTACCTTCATTTTTATCACCTCAGTATAATAATAAATGAGCACTCACTTTTAAAACAGATCTTTTTTCATCAGAAAATAAAATGAGGCAGTAAGATGTTTTTTTCATTGCTGTCTATGGGAATATAATTCAAATCAAAGACACCGAATACGTTTTAAATAGGTGATATTTATGAGTTACGGAAATGAGTTTGACAATCTGTTAAAATAATTATACAATTTTTATCTAATGCATGAAAATGACAATAATTGTCAAAAACTAGTTTTCCTCATTGGACAGAAAATATCGTCAGATGTACTAGGATCGGTACCTTGATTCGGTAAAAGTTACTTACACTTGACAATTAAATATCATCACATATCAACACAATGTTGTTCATGTAGAATTTTGAGTCTTGACAAAACGAAGTACGAAATGGAAGAGAAGAGGAGTGTTGCTCCAGAGGAAATGTCCATAATATTTTATTGTCATTGTTTATTGTTATGTAATAGAAGGACTGGTGAAATGTCTGTATGCCCAGTGTGAGTAATAACAGAAATAAACATCGACATTAAAGAGAATTTGGCTTTAATCCATATTAAAAATCTGTAATTTATCATACAGAACCCTAATTAAAATCAGAGCCTATTTAAGTTTGACAATACAACGTCATTGAACAATTTCTAATGAATTTACGACTTTCCTTGAAAGTCGTAGAGATTCCATAAAATATTTCTTGGTAACAGACGCCTGTCAAAACACTTTTCATTGGTAACGTTGTGAGTCCCACTGTAAAAATAATCAAA